TCTGGTTTGGTGGCGTGTCTGCTCTTTTGAGGGTGCCGTTTTTTTTTGTTGTGAAGGGAAACCAAAAGCAAAGCCAGAATAGGTCGGTCAGGTTGGGGCGTGTCTGCTTTTTGAGGCTGCCGTTTTTTGTTGTGAAGGGAAACCAAAAGGAAAGCCAGAATAGGTCGGTCAGGTTGGGGCGTGTCTGCTCTTTTGAGGCTGCCGTTTTTTTTGTTGTGAAGGGAAACCAAAAGCAAAGCCAGAATAGGTCGGTCTGGTTGGGGCGTGTCTGCTTTTTGAGGCTGCCGTTTTTTTTGTTTGTGGTCGGAAGGTTGGGGCGTGTCTGCTGAGGCTGCCCACAAGGGAAACCAAAGCCAGAATAGGTCGGTCAGGTTGGGGCGTGTCTGCTTTTTTGAGGCTGCCGTTTTTTTGTTGTGAAGGGAAACCAAAAGGAAAGCCAGAATAGGTCGGTCAGGTTGGGGCGTGTCTGCTCTTTTGAGGCTGCCGTTTTTTTTGTTGTGAAAGGAAACCAAAAGGAAAGCCAGAATAGGTCGGTCTGGTTTGGTGGCGTGTCTGCTTTTTTGAGGCTGCCGTGTTTTTTTGTTGTGAAGGGAAACCAAAAGGAAAGCCAGAATAGGTCGGTCTGGTTTGGTGGCGTGTCTGCTTTTTTGAGGCTGCCGTCTTTTTTTGTTGTGAAGGGAAACCAAAAGGAAAGCCAGAATAGGTCGGTCAGGTTGGGGCGTGTCTGCTTTTTTGAGGCTGCCGTTTTTTTTGTTGTGAAGGGAAACCAAAAACAAAGCCAGAATAGGTCGGTCAGGTTGGGGCGTGTCTGCTTTTTTGAGGCTGCCGTTTTTTTTTGGTTGTGAAGGGAAACCAAAAGGAAAGCCAGAATAGGTCGGTCAGGTTGGGGCGTGTCTGCTCTTTTGAGGGTGCCATTTCTTTTTGTTGTGAAGGGAAACCAAAAGCAAAGCCAGAATAGGTCGGTCAGGTTGGGGCGTGTCTGCTCTTTTGAGGGTGCCGTTTTCTTTTGTTGTGAAGGGAAACCAAAAGGAAAGCCAGAATAGGTCGGTCTGGTTTGGTGGCGTGTCTGCTCTTTTGAGGGTGCCGTTTTCTTTTGTTGTGAAGGGAAACCAAAAGGAAAGCCAGAATAGGTCGGTCTGGTTTAGTGGCGTGTCTGCTCTATTGAGGGTGCCGTTTTTTTTTTGTTGTGAAGGGAAACCAAAAGGAAAGCCAGAATAGGTCGGTCTGGTTTGGTGGCGTGTCTGCTCTATTGAGGGTGCCGTTTTTTTTTTGTTGTGAAGGGAAACCAAAAGGAAAGCCAGAATAGGTCGGTCTGGTTTGGTGGCGTGTCTGCTTTTTTGAGGCTGCCGTTTTTTTTGTTGTGAAGGGAAACCAAAAGGAAAGCCAGAATAGGTCGGTCTGGTTTGGTGGCGTGTCTGCTTTTTTGAGGCTGCCGTTTTTTTTTGTTGTGAAGGGAAACCAAAAGGAAAGCCAGAATAGGTCGGTCTGGTTTGGTGGCGTGTCTGCTTTTTTGAGGCTGCCGTCTTTTTTTGTTGTGAAGGGAAACCAAAAGCAAAGCCAGAATAGGTCGGTCAGGTTGGGGCGTGTCTGCTTTTTTGAGGCTGCCGTTTTTTTTTGTTGTGAAGGGAAACCAAAAAGCAAGCCAGAATAGGTCGGTCAGGTTGGGGCGTGTCTGCTTTTTTGAGGCTGCCGGTTTTTTTTGTTATGAAGGGAAACCAAAAGGAAAGCCAGAATGGGTCGGTCTGGTTGGGGCGTGTCTGCTTTTTTGAGGCTGCCGTTTTTTTTGTTGTGAAGGGAAACCAAAAGCAAAGCCAGAATAGGTCGGTCAGGTTGGGGCGTGTCTGCTTTTTTGAGGCTGCCGTTTTTTTTTGTTGTGAAGGGAAACCAAAAGGAAAGCCAGAATAGGTCGGTCAGGTTGGGGCGTGTCTGCTTTTTTGAGGCTGCCGTTTTTTGTTTTTGTGAAGGGAAACCAAAAGGAAAGCCAGAATAGGTCGGTCAGGTTGGGGCGTGTCTGCTTTTTTGAGGCTGCCGTTGTGTTTTTTGTTGTGAAGGGAAACCAAAAGGCAAGCCAGACTAGGTCGGTCAGGTTGGGGCGTGTCTGCTTTTTTGAGGCTGCCGTTTTTTTTTGTTGTGAAGGGAAACCACAAGGAAAGCCAGAATAGGTCGGTCAGGTTGGGGCGTGTCTGCTTTTTTGAGGCTGCCGTTTTTTGTTGTGAAGGGAAACCAAAAGGAAAGCCACAATGGGTCGGTCTGGTTTGGTGGCGTGTCTGCTTTTTTGAGGCTGCCGTTTTTTTTGTTGTGAAGGGAAACCAAAAGCAAAGCCAGAATAGGTCGGTCAGGTTGGGGCGTGTCTGCTTTTTTGAGGCTGCCGTTTTTTTTTGTTGTGAAGGGAAACCAAAAGGAAAGCCAGAATAGGTCGGTCAGGTTGGGGCGTGTCTGCTTTTTTGAGGCTGCCGTTTTTTTTGTTGTGAAGGGAAACCAAAAGGAAAGCCAGAATAGGTCGGTCAGGTTGGGGCGTGTCTGCTTTTTTGAGGCCGCCGTCTTTTTTTTGGTTGTGAAGGGAAACCACAAGGAACGCCACAATGGGTCGGTCTGGTTTGGTGGCGTGTCTGCTTTTTTGAGGGTGCCGTTTTTTTTTGTTTTTTGTTTTTTTGTGAAGGGAAACCAAAAGGAAAGCCACAATGGGTCGGTCTGGTTGGGGCGTGTCTGCTTTTTGAGGGTGCCGTTTTTTTTGTTGTGAAGGGAAACCAAAAGGAAAGCCACAATGGGTCGGTCTGGTTGGGGCGTGTCTGCTTTTTGAGGCTGCCGTTTTTTTTTTGTTGTGAAGGGAAACCAAAAAGGAAGGCCACAATGGGTCGGGTCTGGTTGGGGCGTGTCTGCTTTTTGAGGCTGCCGTTTTTTTGTTGTGAAGGGAAACCAAAAGGAAAATAGGCCAAATGGGTCGGTCAGGTTGGGGCGTGTCTGCTTTTTTGAGGCTGCCGTTTTTTTTGTTGTGAAGGGAAACCAAAAGGAAAGCCACGGCCCAACCAGACCGCCCAATTGTGGCTTTCTTTTGGTTTCACTTACAACTCAAAAAAAAGACGGCAGCATCAAAAAGAGACACGCCCAAACCAGACGACCCCATTGTGGCTTTCCTTTTTGGTTTCCCTTCACAACCAAAAAAGACGGCACCCCTCAAAAAGCAGACACGCCCCAACCAGACCGACCCATTGTGGTTTTTCCTTTTGGTTTTTCCCTTCACAACCAAAAAAGACGGCACGCCGCACCATCAAAAAGCAGACACGCCCCAACCAGACCGACCCATTGTGGCTTTCCTTTTGGTTTCCCTTCACAACACAAAAAAGACGGCAGCCTCAAAAAGCAGACACGCCCCAACCAGACCGACCCATTGTGGCTTTCCTTTTGGTTTCCCTTCACAACAAAAACAAGACGGCACCCTCAAAAAGCAGACACGCCCCAACCAGACCGACCCATTGTGGCTTTCCTTTTGGTTTCCCTTCACAACAAAAACAAGACGGCAGCCTCAAAAAGCAGACACGCCCCAACCAGACCGACCCATTGTGGCTTTCCTTTTGGTTTCCCTTCACAACAAAAACAAGACGGCAGCCTCAAAAAGCAGACACGCCCCAACCAGACCGACCCATTGTGGCTTTCCTTTTGGTTTCCCTTCACAACAAAAACAAGACGGCAGCCTCAAAAAGCAGACACGCCCCAACCAGACCGACCCATTGTGGCTTTCCTTTTGGTTTCCCTTCACAACAAAAACAAGACGGCAGCCTCAAAAAGCAGACACGCCCCAACCAGACCGACCCATTGTGGCTTTCCTTTTGGTTTCCCTTCACAAAAAGAAACAAAACGGCAGCCTCAAAAAAGCAGACACGCCCCAACCAGACCGACCCATTGTGGCTTTCCTTTTGGTTTCCCTTCACAACAAAAAAAAACGGCAGCCTCAAAAAAGCAGACACGCCCCAACCTGACCGACCTATTCTGGCTTTCCTTTTGGTTTCCCTTCACAACAAAAAAACGGCAGCCTCAAAAAGCAGACACGCCCCAACCAGACCGACCCATTGTGGCTTTCCTTTGGTTTCCCTTCACAACCAAAAAAGACGGCACCCTCAAAAAGCAGACACGCCCCAACCAGACCGACCCATTGTGGCTTTCCTTTTGGTTTCCCTTCACAACAAAAAAAGACGGCACCCTCAAAAAGCAGACACGCCCCAACCTGACCGACCCATTCTGGCTTTCCTTTTGGTTTCCCTTCACAACAAAAAAAACGGCAGCCTCAAAAAATCATACACGCCCCAACCAGACCGACCCCATTGTGGCTTTCCTTTTGGTTTCCCTTCACAACCAAAAAAAAGGACGGCAGCCTCAAAAAGCAGACACGCCCCAACCAGACCGACCCATTGTGGCTTTCCTTTTGGTTTCCCTTCACAACCAAAAAAAAGACGGCACCCTCAAAAAGCAGACACGCAACCAAACCAGACCGACCCATCTTGTTTTTTGGTTGTGAAGGGAAACCAAAAGGAAAGCCACAATGGGTCGGTCTGGTTGGGGCGTGTCTGCTTTTTGAGGCTGCCGTCTTTTTTTTTGGTTGTGAAGGGAAACCAAAAGGAAAGCCACAATGGGTCGGTCTGGTTTGGTTGCGTGTCTCCTTTTTGAGGGTGCCGTCTTGTTTTTTGGTTGTGAAGGGAAACCAAAAGGAAAGCCGCAATGGGTCGGTCTGGTTGGGGCGTGTCTGCTTTTTGAGGGTGCCGTGTTTTTTTTGGTTGTGAAGGGAAAGGAAAGCCACAATGAGGTCGGTCAGGTTTGGGTGTGTCTGCATACCACATCATCATGCAGGAGGTTGGGCTGGAAGGATAGGCATGTCTTTTACGGTTGTGGAGAGGACCCTGTCAAATGGTTGAGAGTGCCCGTCTTTTTGTGGCTTCAAAGTCCAACCTCAAAAGACACCCATTTGGACCGCTGCGAGTTTAGAGACTTGGTGATCCGGAACCCAGGACAGCCTCTACGGGGGTGTTGCGACACTGGCGGAGGACGAGAGAATTTGTGGGCGAAATTGGCTGCATCGCTACAGACTCGCCAGGACCTCGACTTGTACCGCGGTTGATCGGGCTCGATGATGATGCGATATATACACACAGTGGTGTATTATACATAGACATATACATACACATACACGTACAGCTGCCAATTGCAGTTATCATTTATTAGATCAGATTAGCTAGCATCTCTGAATCATGATGTCAGCAACTGTCTGCGGGACAGTCGGCGACCCTTTTCATGGCCTTCATGGATAGCCCAGAGATTTCCAGAGTTGACATGGAATCTGGTTTGCCACTGGTTTCCCCTTTTGTATCAGGTGTCCGACAGCAAGGACGCTGCGGAGGAACATCCCTGTCTGAACTGTTCTGAGGGCCAGGGTTGAATCGTGCAAGCTCTCGGTACATGGTTGTCTCAATTGGTGTCAGTGACATTTTTCTCACAACGTCACTTCCCCTTTGTGCAGGCCCTGGATCTCAGTAGGTGTCCCAGCGGGTCACCTTACAAAAAAAAAACCATCCAGAAGGGATTTTCATGAGGAGCGACCCATTTGTGACGTCTTGATGCTTGTTTCGCCTTAGCAGGTTGGCCTTTGCATTGCGCTCTCACCAAGCTCCATGCGGGGAGTCCAATCCTTGGCTGAATTTGCTTTGATTCCGGCGAGGAGTTTCTGAGCGTTCTGGGTTTTTGTGTTGCTCACCCCTGGGTCGCCCCTTTGGCCAGCCAAAGCGGTGACCTGATTTGAGGACTGACAGCGCCCGGGCCTTTTTCGGTTCGGTACCCTCTTCAGGTTTAAGGGACACTTGCTGGAGAGCTAGGTAGGGAATGACCGTTCCAGGTGTTGGGAACAAACCTTGGGATTCCCGGAGAGGAAACCCTACAAAATGGTTTATAGGTGTCAACAAGGTCTCATTCCCTGCATCTCTCGAACCAGCACGAGCTGGGGCACCTGTCTCATGCGCGCAATGCCAAGGCCTTTAAGGAAGGTGACGGAGCCTCGGACAGCAAGGGGTTGCTGCAGGGAGCGCGTGTGTTTTTGTTTTGCGTGGAAGGACCCACCGCCTACGTTTCGTTTACTTTCCAACTGGTGGTTTCCTTTCTTCGTTGGAATCCCCCTAAGTGGTTCATTCCCAAGACCCGGAATGGTGATTCCCTACCTGTCGCACCAGCAAGTTTTTTGGCGTCCTGGGCTTCTCATCGCAAGCAAAGAATCAATCAGAGTCTGGGCGGTATCTGCGACGTCTGAGGTCTCGAAAATGGCTTCCGCAAAACGAGGGGTGGGCTTCCAAGATGGGCTTCCCCGAGAAAGAAAAGTTGGACCGATTTTGGGGTCTGGGAAGGGAGGCTTTAGTCTCACTTCCTGAGTTCCTTGACCCCCTGGACTTTAAGAACTTTTTGGGTTTGGACCAAATTTTAGCGGTACATCCACAGGTTGGACCATGTTAGTCTTTGGGGTTGGCCCGCTCTTAGCGGGGACTTCCCGCAGTTTGGGTTAGGCCGGACGACCGGACGAGTGTCCAAGGCTCGTGGCGCAGCTGCTCCTGTCCGGTGCCGGTGGACCTGGCAAGCGGCTTGGAGCTGCGGGTGCTGAGGGGCGAAGTGGACCTGAGGCGCCAGGAATGGGGGGGGGGGGGGGGCGGGGCATGGGGGAGGGCGGAGAGCGGAGGGCGGAGGGGTGTGTGTGGTGGTTGGGGCAGTTTTGTTGGGTGGAAGAAGGTGCCCTTCCTTTTCTAACTGTGAGATTCGATTGCCACAAGGCTCTGTGATGAGGAGCAAGCCTTTTTTTCTTTATAAAATCAGACCTGACGGATGGAGAGAAGCATAGACCGGCTCGAATGTCAACCTGACGTGTTCCCTTGAACTAGATGGCCCCAAAAACTGACCCCGTTTCCTCTTGGTGCGCCGAAAAGCGAGCCCCACCGAGCCCGAATTCAGCTGCATCGCCTTGTAGGCATGCGCCGCCGCCCTGGGAAGAGTGCGTGGCCTTGGCGCCGGAAAAGGGGCGCGGAAGTTCGATCGCCTCAGGCCTGAACCAGGTTGATACGGAAAAAAATCCCCGTTTGATGCACCTTGACGAAGTTTGATATGGGAAATGGCGCCAAGGGAATCCCCCCATATCCCCGCTCGCTCCGTATCCCCGCTTGTTCGTTTGTCCAACTGTACAGTTTCTCCTTTCCGCCTGCGATGTTCAGTGGAGTCTATTCGCCGACCGCATATCGCAGATCATCACACACTTGTCAGAGGCCTTCACCACATTGACATGTGCGCATGACCTTTTTTCTCGCAGCCAGCTAAGCTCCCGTCGGAAAAACTCATCTTGCGCGCCCGCCTCACACTCTTTGACCTTTGCAGATGCTCGCCCTGGCCTGGTTTGTCATATCTGCAGCGGCTGCAGCTCAGCGGCAGCATCCGGAGCTATCTACTTGGGTCCCTAGGACGACCCCAGCGGAGATGAGTCACGCATTCTAGATGCCATCTCGATGGGATTGATTCTGCCACTGCTGAGCCTTCGTTCGCCGGTGTCGGCCACTTTTGCTATTGCGGCACTACATGGAGCAAGCGCTGCCACGTGCGACGATGTCCACACCTTCTACCAAGCTCAGAGTTGCTGTGCACAGCCCACCCAAGCTCCTGAGATCCAGCTGAAGGCCTTGAAACTTGTGTTGGTCCGCAGGCATATTTTCAGGCCAACGTGCTGCTCCGTGTGGACGGAGCAGCACATAGTCTTGAAAATAGGTCTGCGGCACGGGGAACGCATCAATCTGACGCATTTTGTTTGGTCCGCAGACCTATTGTCAGGCCAACGTGCTGCTCCGTGTGGGTGGAGTAACACACAGGCCTGAAAGCAGGTCTGCGGCAAGGGGAGGCACCTGGAGCCGTTGAAGCTTGCATCAATTTGCATTCCAGGACGCGTGTCTTTTGGTCCGCAGGCCTATTTTCAGGCCAATGTGCTGCTCCGTGTGGATGGAGCAGCACATAGTCTTGAAAATAGGTCTGCGGCACAGGGAAGCACCTGGATCCCTCCGAAGCTTGCATCAATCTGATGTCAGGCCAACGTGCTGCTCCGTGTGGGTGGAGTAGCACACAGGCCTGAAAGCAGGTCTGCGGCAAGGGGAAGCACCTGGAGCCGTTGAAGCTTGCATCAATTTGCATTCCAGGACGCGTGTCTTTTGGTCCGCAGGCCTATTTTCAGGCCAATGTGCTGCTCCGTGTGGATGGAGCAGTACATAGCCTTGAAAATTGGTTTGCGGCACGGCGAAGCACCTGGATCCCTCCGAAGCTTGCATCAATCTGTCGCATTTCGTTTGGTCCGCAGACGTATTGTCAGGCCAACGTGCTGTTCCGTGTGGGTGGAGCAACACATAGGCCTGAAAGCAGGTCTGCGGCAAGGGGAAGCACCTGGAGCCGTTGAAGCTTGCATCAATCTGCATTCCAGAGCGTGTCTTCTGGTCCGTAGGCCTATTGTCAGGCCAAGGTGGAGTAACACAGGCCTATTTTCAGGCCAACGTGCTGCTTCCGTGTGGGTGGAGCAATACATAGGCCTGAACATAGGTCTGCGGCACGGGGAAGCATCTGGATCTCTCCAAAGCTTGCATCAATTTGACGCATTTTGTTTGGTCCGCAGACCTATTGTCAGGGCAACGTGCTGCTCCGTATGGGTGGAGCAACACATAGGCCTGAAAGCAGGTCTGCAGCACGGGGAAGCACCTGGACCCCTCCGAAGCTTGCATCAATCTGACGCATTTCGTTTGGTCCAAAGGCCCATTGTCAGGCCAACGTGCTGCTCCGTGTGAGTGGAGTAACACACAGGCCTGAAAGCAGGTCTGCGGCAAGGGGAAGCATCTGGAGCCGTTGAAGCTTGCATCAATGTGCATTTCAAGACGCGTGTCTTTTGGTCCGCAGGCCTATTTTCAGGCCAACGTGCTGCTCCTCCGTGTGGGTGGAGCAATACATAGGCCTGAACATAGGTCTGCGGGACGGGGAAGCATCTGGATCCCTCCGAAGCTTGCATCAATTTGACGCATTTCGTTTGGTCTGCAGACCTATTGTCAGGCCAATGTGCTGCTCCGTGTGGGTGGAGTAACACATAGGCCTGAAAAGCAGGTCAGCGGCAAGGGGAAGCACCTGGAGCCGTTGAAGATTGCATCAATCTGCATCCCAGCGCGTGTCTTTTGGTCCGCAGGCCTATTTTCAGGCCAACGTGCTGCTCCTCCGTGTGGGTGGAGCAATACATAGGCCTGATCATAGGTGTGCGGCACGGGGAAGCATCTGGATCCCTCCGAAGCTTGCATCATTTTGACGCATTTCGTTTGGTCTGCAGACCTATTGTCAGGCCAATGTGCTGCTCCGTGTGGGCGGAGTAACACATAGGCCTGAAAGCAGGTCAGCGGCAAGGGGAAGCACCTGGAGCCGTTGAAGTTTGCATCAATCTGCATTCCAGCGCGTGTCTTTTGGTCCGCAGGCCTATTTTCAGGCCAACGTGCTGATGCAGCAGCACATAGGCCTGAAAGCAGGTCGCGGCACGGGGAAGCACCTGGAGCCGTTGAAGCTTGCATCTATCTGCATTCCAGGACGGGTGTCTTTTGGTCCGAAGGCCTATTGTCAGGCCAACGTGCTGCTCCGTGTGGTGCAATCCCCGGATCCCGGCTTGGCTGATGAGAACGCTTTAGAACTTTAGAAGACGCCCCCCCCACAGGCAGGCGCATTGCTGTCATGGGCACGTCCGTTTTTTTAGATTAGCTGCAAGTAGCGGGGCTTGTCTTGCAGCGGCATGGAATTGTGTCTATGCCAGTTCTCTTCGATCAATTGTCATGCTAGGAATGTTCTTGGATTGAACCTCCTGTGCGATCTGGGACAGTCACTGCGCCGGGCTTTGCAAAAGCAGAGTTGCTCAGCACCATGGACCTCCAAGCAACACTATGGGGCGGGGTGGCTATCCCTTCATAAGCCCTTAAGAAGGCTTGATTAAGGCCTTATCCTTGGGTTCTCCCGGTTCTCCCGGGCTTATCCAGGGAGAGCCCCACCCAAGATTCCATGGCAGCATGGTTTCCAGTTGACCTTGTGCAACGCTTCGGGCACCAGTAACCATTCCTTGGGCTGCCAGTCACGGCCTGCCTGGCTTTAGGTCTGCTGCTCTTCGTGGATTTGGGCGACTTTATGACCCGCCTGGACGGCGTTGCATGAGTCAAGCCTCGACATGGGAGCGCATTGAATCATGTCCAAGAATGGGGGGGCTGTTGACAAGGGATACTTTTCAGTTGGAAGACAGATTGGCAAGTTAGATGATGACGTTGGATAATGTACACTTGCCAATGCATTTTGGGCTTCTTGCAGTCTTGACACTGGGTGGCACCTGCAATTTGCTGACAAGACATGGGAATGGGTGCTGGCGCTTAACGAGCCTTACCTGAGATGTTAGATGGAGAGAGTGTCTTCTTTGCCTTTTTGGCAAAAGTGGTGGGTGTATGCAGCTAGGAGGCTTTCCACATTGGCTTTCGTGGTATGCATTTGTACTTGAGGGTATTATTGTGTGGTATGTTTTGCATTTTTTGCGTGTGCTAGCATTTTTTGATGACTGTCAGGCATTTTGTTGGCACTTGATGACCCAGTAACATGTTTTGGAATCACAGCGCAAGCAGTTCTTTCACGCAGATCACCTCTTCGTGGACTAGCGTGTGTTGCATGTTTCGGCGTGTGCTGTCATGCTTCGCATGGGGTGCTGGGAGTCTCTGGGTGCATGGTTTAGCAGATGGCAATTTGCAAGGCATGAAAGAGCTCGAAAACACGCCCTGCCTTGCAGCTGGGCTTTGTGCTTGGGTTTTGTCATTTTGCCGCTCCTTGGACCAGTTCTATCGAGTTTTCGCATGGAAGTCGCAAGCTGCAAGGCCGCTTTGCACTGTTTGCAGAACAACTTCATATTCGAAACGTCAATTTGGACAAAATGCAGCCCCAGTGCCACTTTTCATAGAAACCAGCCACGGGATTTTCTCTACAGGACATTTGCCCAAAGCCCACATGGCCTTCGGTTTATCACGAGTGTTGCCATGGCTGGTGTGAATTCATGAACATGCTGCGTGTCTTCGTTTTGCGCCAGAAACTGAGCGATCCCGCGCAGGACCCTGCAGTGCGTCCCAAAGACGAGCAGTCGGACCGCCGGGCTGCCTCGGTCAGGGCGAAATAGACTGACCTCGGGACGGGCCAAAGCCGAGGGGTAGAAGATGCGTGCGTCCTGTTAAGCGTTCCTTGAGGAAGACCATTCTATGTTTTTTGGGTTTTGGGGGGGGGTTCTAAGTTTTTTTTGTTTTTTTTGGGGTGGAGTGTTCCAGTGGTCAGATTGGTGCTGGGCCGTTCTGGGGTCCATTCTTTGGGTTCTGTTGGGGTTCTCCAATTGACTAGCGGGTTGGTTGTTTCCCAACCCACAAAATCATGAGGCCGGAACTTTGGGTTGTCTATCGGGCCATATGGGTCTTGGAACACCCAGAGGTCACCAGAAGGGGTTCACAGCAAACAGGAGAATGGCGGTGTGGCAGCTGATTGCTTTGAACGTGTCCGTCGCGGTTGAGGGTGTTCACTACAGATTTTGGGGTTAGTAACAGTATTCATTGCTCCCTCCACATGGTGTACCCTGGCGCCCATCAACATGAACATGGCTGGTGTGTGTGTGTGTGTGGGTGGGTGGGGTGGGTGGGGTGGGTGGGTGCGGAGGGTGGGTGGGTGCAGAGGGAGTACGCGGGCGGGCATGTGTTTCTGTGTGCGCGAGCGATATGTATATTACACATACATACGCAACTGAACATTTTTTGGCATACACACCCGCTTGTCCCTTTGGTCAACAAGGATGGGTGTTGCACCGGAAACCCCTTCATTTGTGAAGCCTGCAGGGTGCATCTTGGATCAGGTCTGAACCTCCGCGGCGTGGCCATGACCAACCCTGGCGGCACCTATATGGACTGCAGAGGGGTTTGGGTGGGGGTCAGTGGAACGGCTTCGGGGGAGTCCCGGAGGTTTTTTTCTAGATCGATTTGTTTCATGGCCTTTCGATGCGCTGAATGAGCAGCTCCCCAGAAACGCACACCATTTTTCTGGCATGCTACTTGTGCTGGCCTCCCCTGCTCGTTGCTATATCCCTTATCTCCGGTGAACTCTTTCGGCCTTCTCAAGAAGCTTCTGCTCCGCAAGATTCCCCGCAACCTCAAGCCGCGCGATCTGGTTCTCGGCCAATTGCACCAGGACACTTCCCACCTTTTACAGGGTCTTGGCAATCGGAACAGTTGCACCCCTTGGACCAATGCCGAGTTGCCCAGTGGATTCCGCTCGTTTTTCAACTTTTGTTCTGGGAAGGGTTCCCCTTTAAACTCAACCAACCAAAAAGAGGATGCATCCTTTTCTCCCATGGAAAATCCACCGGGCATCTGAGAATGTTCCGTGAGTCTTGCTTGGCCGGGGATTCCCGCGGGGCTTCCCGAAGCAAGGTCTCCATCTATCTCTTAGCTAGGTGCCCTTTCTCACCCTTTTTTGGTTGGGAGGGTTCACCTACTAAAAGAGACAAAACATCAAAAAGAAAGGTTGGCAACTTCTTCTACCCCCCCCCCCTCCCCCCCCTCCTCCCCCGCCCCTCCTCCCCCCCTCCCCTACCCTTATTCTAAGCTCTCAAATCTAGAGCACCCAGCCATCCAAGTGGAAGGCGCCGAAAACGTTTTCGGGGCGCCTTGCTTCGCCAGTACCTGGGCGTGGAGCGGGGCGTCCAGCTCCTGGAGTACGAGTGGCGCAGCTCGCACCGCGCTCCTTGGACCTTGGTTTTGAAGGGACAATCAAAGGGAAAACCAACGGGGGAAAAAAACACATACACATACACACACGCATCTTTTTTGAGTGGCTTTAAAGGGAAACCAAAAGGGGAAAAACAAAGCAAAGCACACACACACACATACACACACACACACATGTTGGGGGTGATTGGGCATTGGGGCTGGGGGCCTGATTGGGGTGGGGCATCCGGAAGTTCGTGGTTCAGGTGTTGGGGACTTTGTCCGCAGTTTTTCGGCTTTGCAGGCATGTCCGAGGTTTTGGGGCAGCTTATGTCGCGGTGCTGCAAGCTATGCAACTCTGGATGTTTTGTGTTTTATTTGCTGCCTGGCGAAGGCGTCGGATTTCCGTTGCAGGCTAGGACCACCCCTTGCTCGCTGAACGCGTTTTCTGCCCCTCGCCAATCCGCAAACGCACTTCATTTGTCGCATTTCCCCTGGTTGTCAACTTCTTCTTCGGCATTGCCAAACATTAAACAACAAAACAAAACGACACAAAGACAAAAACAGCACAAAGAACAGCCAACAACGCAACACCCACCCACCCCACCCCACCCCACCTCACCCCAACCCAACCCCTACCCCTGCCCCTACCACCCCTCTACTACCCCTACCCCTACCCACCCACCCCCCCTCCCTGCCCCTGCTTCTGCCCCCACCCAACCCCTACCCCAACCCCCACCCCACCCCACCCCGCCCCACCCCACCCCACCCCACCCCACCCCGCCCCACCCCACCCCACCCCACCCCACCCCACCCCACCCCACCCCACCCCGCCCCGCCCCGCCCCGCCCCGCCCCGCCCCACCCCACCCCACCCCACCCCACCCCACCACACCACACCACACCACACCACACCACACCACACCACACCACACCACACCCCACCCCCCCACCCACCCCACCCCACCCCCCTTGTTGGAGCAGAAGCTACTTGAGGCCATTGCTGCAACGTGCCCTCTGACTGCAATGTATGGCTCAATCAACACGTAACAGTGAGCCAAACGGTGAGGGTCCCATTCCGCCAACGGCTAGGTTGGGCACTACAACACACACACACACGCACTACCTGCACACACCCACACCGAACTGTAAACATAGCACTAAGCTGTAGAAAAAGCGGTTAGCTGTAGACAAAGCAACTAACTGTAGACAAAGCAGTTAGCTGTAAGCGCAGCAAGAAGCTGTCAACAAGGCCGTTAACTGTCAACACAGCAGAAGACTGTGAGGAGAGCCGTTAACTGTAAACATAGCAACTAACTGTAGACAAAGCTGTGGCCTGTACACATAGCAATGGGCTGTACACAAAGCCGCTGACTGTAGACATAGCAATACACTGTACACAGAGCTGTCAACTGTAAGCATAGCAGTGAACTGTAGACAAAGCTGTTAACTGTACACATAGCAATAAACTGTAGACAAAGCCGCTAACTGTAGACATAGCACTAAACTGTAGAGCAAGCTGTTAACTGTAGACATAGCAGTAAACTGTAGACAAAGCTGTTAACTGTAACCATAGCAATAAACTGTAGACCAAGCTGTTAACTGTAGACATAGCAATAGACTGTAGACAAAGCTGTTAACTGTAAGCATAGCAGTAAACTGTTAACAAAGCTGTTAACTGTAAGCATAGCAATAAACTGTAAACAACGCTGTTAACTGTAAACCCAGCAGTAAACTGTAGACCAAGCTGTTAACTCTAGACATAGCAATAAACTGTAGACAAAGCTGTTAACTGTAAGCATAGCAATAAACTGTAGACCAAGCTGTTAACTGTAGACATAGCAATAGACTGTAGACAAAGTTGTTAACTGTAAGCATAGCAATAAACTGTAAACAAAGCTGTTAACTGTAAACCCAGCAGTAAACTGTAGACCAAGCTGTTAACTGTAGACATAGCAACAAACTGTAGACAAAGCTGTTGACTGTAAGCATAGCAGTAAACTGTAAACAAAGCCTTAACTGTAAACACAGCAATAAACACAGCAGCAGCAACTGCAGCAGCACCCTCCACCACCACCACCACCACCACCACCAACACAGCAGCACCACCACCACCACCACTGCGCTGCAATGGCCCCTAAGAGAGCTGGTGCGCCTGGCCGGGCTTACCCCGTGGGGGCACGAGCCCGCGGGGGGGCCGGCCAGGGGAGGGCTGGCGTGGCGCGCATTGTGCTCTGGACCTTTGTGCCAGCCTGAGATTTTGGCTGCGCAATGAAGCAAGCCACTGACAGAGAGAGGGCCATATGCTGTTCTGACTGAGGCCAGGGTGGTCCACGCCATCCTCAACCACCTCCACGTGGACCACCTGTTGCTGCAGGACTGACTACACCAACAAACAACACACACACAGACTGAACCCCCCTGTGCCAGGAGCGACTGAGGGCAGGTGACCGGCCCAGTGCAGGGGTGATTGCGCAGTTGGCTGGGATTGGCCTCTGGCCTCTGCGCAATGTTCGGTACTTCTGGATCCCCAATCTCCAAGGGAATGGGGATCCACTGGAGATTGGAAGGCAGCTTTTTTTGCGGCCTCAGGGCAGGAATCATGTGTTGGTTCCTGCAGGGAGAAGGTGGGTCGTTCAGGACTACCTTGGGGCCTTGTTTGTCCCCCGTCTTCTGCCCATTGTCTTGAGGCTGATGCAGCCCTTCTTGACTTGGGAGTGGCCTCTGGCCCATGGGGGGGCAAGGCGCTTTCTTTGCTTGGTCATTTATAGGCTGCACCAGTTCATGCAAACGCACTGGTCAGCTTGGGTCCCACCTCCGGGGTTTGGCATGTGCCACTATTGCACGCGGTGGAGACCCCGGCCCACCCCACCCACCACCCCACCCCACCCACCACCCCACCCCACCCCACCCCACCCCACCCCACCCCACCCCACCCCACCCCACCCCACCCCACCCCACCCCACCCCACCCCCCACCCCACCCCACCCCACCCCACCCACTCGCCCCACCCCGCCCCGCCCCGCCCGCCCCGCCCCACCCCAACCCCACCCCACCCACCCACCCACCCACCCACCCACCCACCCCACCCAACCAACCCCACCCACCCAACCAACCACCAAACCAACCCCACCCACCCACCCCACCCAACCAACGCACCCCACCCAAACAACCCCAACCCCACCCACCCAAACACGCCCGCCCACCCGCCCCCGCCCGCCCGCCCGCCGCCCCGCCCCTCCCGCCCGCCCGCCCGCCCGCCCGCCCGCCCGCCCGCCCGCACACGCCCACCCGCTACACGCCCACCCCTAACGCACACGCCCACCCCCTCCCCCCACCCCCCACCCCCCCACCCCCCCACCCCCCCCACCCCCAACACCCCCGAACCCCCCCCCCTCCCCACCCTCCCCACCCACCCACCCCCCCACCCCCCCACACCCCCCCACCCCTATTCCCCATTTACCCACCCGCCCGCCCACGCACCCACCCACCCCCACCCCACCCACCCACCCGCGCCCGCCCTGCCCGGCCGACCCCCCACCCCTCCCCACACCCACCCACACATCCCCCCACCGAACCCCCCACCCATCCCCCTACCATCCCCCACCCCCCACCCCCAACCCCCACCCCACCACCCCCCCACCACCACCCCACCCCACCACCCCACCCCACCCCACCCTTTCAGTGTCGCATGCGGTGTTACGTCGTAGGTCAAGCCATTTTGGGTGACCGTACTTCTGTTAGCATCAACTTCGTCAGTGATGTGTGCTAGCTATGCCATGTGACCATCTTGGGTCGTGTAAAATGAACTGCTGTTCCATTCTGTGGACCACCAGGCACTTTGGACCAGTGCAACCAGTCGGTGGGGATGTCCATCAAATTGCGGCAGCCTGAACCGAGGTTTCTCGGAGGCCTTGTGCCAGCATGTGGTCGGCCAGAAACTCCCGAGTTGGACAGATGTTCCACAGCCATGTAGTGGAGGTCTTGGGTGGACCGGTGGGACGCTGCGACGAGGACAAGCCCCAGGAAGAGGCGACAGTGCTTGAACAGGGGCCCTTATATTTACAAAGTAAGGCAGGGCGAGCTTTAGCGAGCCCTGCTAAACGGTAGAGTCTAGGAGCCTTTTTTGGACCCAAAACCCTCATTTCCTTGCAGTTTTTGCCAAAAAAATCAACTTGTCAATTTTTTTCAAACTTGCAATATTTAGCTGCAAACTTTTCAAATTTTGACCAAAGTGGGTTTCTCTTCTTGCACTTTTCCCTTGTTGTTCCTTGGTACTTTTGCCTTTGTTTTTACTGTTTTCTCTTGCTGTTCTCTTGTTTTCCTCTTTATTACTTGTGCTTTTCCCTGCTGTTTTCTCACTGTTGCTTGGCTTTATCCTTTTGTTTGGCTGCTGTTTCTTGCAGTTTGCAATGTCTAGTTCTCCCTTTGTTCACTTCTCTGTATTGCTTTCTTGCAGTTTCTCCCAATCTTTCCTTGCTGTTCCTTGCTGTTTTCTTGCAGTTTCTAAACCCAAAAGCCAAAAACTGGTGTGGGTGGGGGGTGGAGGTAAGAAGTGTGGGTGGAAGAGTGGGTGGTGGAGGGGGGGTGGTTGTGGGTTGGAAAGGTGGTAGGTGGGTGGGTGGGTGTGAGTGGGTGGGTGGGTCTGTGGGTGTGGGGGTGGTGGTGGTGAACGGGGTGGGTGTGGGCGGGGTGGGTTGGAGGGGGGAAGGTGGGTGTGGAGTGGGGTGGGTGGGGGTGGTGGGGTGGGTGGGTGGAGGGGGAGTGGTGGTGGTGTGGGTGGTGGGTGGCTGGTTGTGGGTCGGGAAGGTGGGGGGTTGGTGGGTGTGAGTGGGTGGGTGGGTGCCGGGGTGGCTGGTGGGGTAGGTGGGTGTGAGTAGTGGGATGGTGGGTGGTGGGTGGGTGTGGGTGTGGGTGGTTGGTGGGGTGTGGGTGGGTGGGTGTGGGGGTGGCTGGTGGGGTGTGAGTAGGGGATGGTGGGTGGTGTGTGGGGTGGGGTGGGGTGGGGTGGGTGGGTGTGGGTGGTTGGTGGGTGGGTTGGTGGGTGTGGGTGGGTGGGTGCCTGGTGGGGTGGGGGTGGCTGGTGGGGTAGGTGGGTGTGAGTGGTGGGATGGTGGGTGGTGTGTGGGGTGGGGTGGGTGGGTGGGTGGGTGTGGGTGGTTGGTGGGTGGGTTGGTGGGTGGGTGGGTGCCTGGTGGGGGGGGTGGCTGGTCGGGTGGGTGGGTTGGTGGTGGTGAGGGGGGGCGGGTGGTCGGTGTGGGGTGGGTGGGGTGGGTGGGTTGGGGGGTGGTGGTGTGGTGGTGGTGGGGTGGTTGTTGTGGGTGTTGTTGTTGTTGTTGTTGTTGTTGTTGTTGTTGTTGTTGTTGTTGTTGTTGTTGTTGTTGTTGTTGTTGTTGTTGTTGTTGTTGTTGTTGTTGTTGTTGTTGTTGTTGTTGTTGTTGTTGTTGTTGTTGTTGTTGTTGTTGTTGTTGTTGTTGTTGTTGTTGTTGTTGTTGTTGTTGTTGTTGTTGTTGTTGTTGTTGTTGTTGTTGTTGTTGTTGTTGTTGTTGTTGTTGTTGTTGTTGTTGTTGTTGTTGTTGTTGTTGTTGTTGTTGTTGTTGTTGTTGTTGTTGTTGTTGTTGTTGTTGTTGTTGTTGTTGTTGTTGTTGTTGTTGTTGTTGTTGTTTGTTGTTGTTGTTGTTGTTGTTGTTGTTGTTGTTGTTGTTGTTGTTGTTGTTGTTGTTGTTGTTGTTGTTGTTGTTGTTGTTGTTGTTGTTGTTGTTGTTGTTGTTGTTGTTGTTGTTGTTGTTGTTGTTGTTGTTGTTGTTGTTGTTGTTGTTGTTGTTGTTGTTGTTGTTGTTGTTGTTGTTGTTGTTGTTGTTGTTGTTGTTGTTGTTGTTGTTGTTGTTGTTGTTGTTGTTGTTGTTGTTGTTGTTGTTGTTGTTGTTGTTGTTGTTGTTGTTGTTGTTGTTTGTTGTTGTTGTTGTTGTTGTTGTTGTTGTTGTTGTTGTTGTTGTTGTTGTTGTTGTTGTTGTTGTTGTTGTTGTTGTTGTTGTTGTTGTTGTTGTTGTTGTTGTTGTAGCTGTTGTTGTTGTTGTTGTTGTTGTTGTTGTTGTTGTTGTTGTTGTTGTTGTCGTTGTTGTACTTGTACTTGTACTTGTACTTGTTCTTGTTGTTGTTGTTGTTGTTGTTGTTGTTGTTGTTGTTGTTGTTGTTGTTGTTGTTGTTTTGTTTGGTCCCAAACAAACAAACAAACAAGCAAGCAAGCAAACAAACAAACACACAAACAAACCAACCCCCTGAGGAACACCTTGTCCTGTGCCTGGCAGGAACAAGGCCTCAGGGGGAACAAAAACCAGGCATTGTTTTGTTTTGTTTTGTTTTGTTTTGTTTGGTCCCAAACAAACAAACAATCAAACAAGCAAGCAAGCAAGCAAGCAAGCAAGCAAGCAAGCAAGCAAGCAAGCAAGCAAGCAAGCAAGCAAGCACACACACCCGGTGGCCGTTCTGGCTCCAGGAGAGGAGGAGAGAAAAAGAGGAGGAGAGAAAAGAGAGAGAAAAAAAGAGAAAACAAAGAGGGGACATGCCCCCCCCTACGGGGGGGGGGTGTCAGGCAGGGGGTGGGCTGTTGCCTTTAAGCAAAGGCAGCACCCATCCTGCAAAAAAGCAGCACATGCGGCTGCTGCTTCTGCGTGAGATACGCAGAAAGCAGCAGCAGCATCGAAGGAAGGAGCTGCAGAAGGAGAAAAAAAAAGGGGAAGGGGGTCTCCCAGACCCCCGGGGCCATTAAAAAGAGAAGGCAGAGGCAGGCCATGAAGCAGAAGGGGCCCAAAGCCCCTTCTGCTGCTGCCAGGCGTGCCCAGGAGAGATGGGGCGCCGACAAACCGATTGGGTGGCTCCAATCGGCTTGTCGGCAGCTCTGAAAAAGAGGGAAAAAGAAAAAAGAGAAAATAAGAAAAAGGAGGAGGAAAAAGAAAAAAAAGAGAAAGAAGAGAAAAAAGAAAAAGAGAAAAACAATCTGGGCACTTCCCCCACCAAACTGGGACCAGCAGGGGATCAATCTTGGCACTTCCCCCACCAAACTGGGACCAGCAGGGGATCAATCTGGGCACTTCCCCCACCAAACTGGGAATAGCAGGGGATCAATCTGGGCACTTCCCCCACCAAACTGGGACCAGCAGGGGATCAATCTGGGCACTTCCCCCACCAAACTGGGACTAGCAGGGGATCAATCTGGGCACTTCCCCCACCAAACTGGGACCAGCAGGGGATCAATTTGACCAAAAATGAAAAAGGTCTTTTTCTCTGCACTAAAGCCAAAACAAAGAAATTGCCCTGGAGAAGTCTCTATCAAATGGTCTGAGGATTTCATTGGACTTGATGAGAGCTTCTAAAACTGCTTCTGGTCAACGCGTCCTGAAAATGGCTTTTGGCACCACTAGTTTGGAAGATTTGTATTTTTTAAGGCAGGGCGAGCTTTAGCGAGCCCTGCTAAACGGTAGAGTCTAGGAGCCCTTTTTGGACCCAAAACCATCATTTCCTTGCAGTTTTTGCCAAAAAATCAACTTGTCAATTTTTTTCAAACTTGCAATATTTAGCTGCAAACTTTTCAAATTTTGACCAAAGTGGGTTTCTCTTCTTGCACTTTTCCCTTGTTGTTCCTTGGTACTTTTGCCTTTGTTTTTACTGTTTTCTCTTGCTGTTCTCTTGTTTTCCTCTTTATTACTTGTGCTTTTCCCTGCTGTTTTCTCACTGTTGCTTGGCTTTATCCTTTTGTTTGGCTGCTGTTTCTTGCAGTTTGCAATGTCTAGCTTCTCCCTTTGGCTTCACTAGTTTGGAAGATTTGTATTTTTAAGGCAGGGCGAGCTTTAGCGAGCCCTGCTAAACGGTAGAGTCTAGGAGCTTTTTGGACCCAAAACCCTCATTTCCTTGCAGTTTTTGCCAAAAAATCAACTTGTCAATTTTTTCAAACTTGCAATATTTAGCTGCAAACTTTTCAAATTTTGACCAAAGTGGGTTTCTCTTCTTGCACTTTTCCCTTGTTGTTCCTTGGTACTTTTGCCTTTGTTTTTACTGTTTTCTCTTGCTGTTCTCTTGTTTTCCTCTTTATTACTTGTGCTTTTCCCTGCTGTTTTCTCACTGTTGCTTGGCTTTATCCTTTTGTTTGGCTGCTGTTTCTTGCAGTTTGCAATGTCTAGTTCTCCCTTTGTTCACTTCTCTGTATTGCTTTCTTGCAGTTTCTCCCAATCTTTCCTTGCTGTTCCTTGCTGTTTTCTTGCAGTTTCTAAACCCAAAAGCAAAAAACTGGTGTGGGTGGGGGGTGGAGGTAAGAAGTGTGGGTGGAAGAGTGGGTGGTGGAGGGGGGGTGGTTGTGGGTTGGAAAGGTGGTAGGTGGGTGGGTGGGTGTGAGTGGGTGGGTGGGTCTGTGGGTGTGGGGGTGGTGTGGTGGTGCGCTTTTTCACATTTTAATCAGGAGTTTGAGTTGAACTCTGTTTGAATAAAATGTGATTTGTAAAGAAATTATGTTGGACAGGAACATCCTGTGTAAAGTCCAATTGAAAATAGGATAAATCTACCTAAAATTTCATTATACAATTTGATTAGCATATGTCCGTAAAGTTTGCTTAAACTCTACTTGGATTGTAAAGTTCCATTGGAAAGGGAGTTCTATCTAGATTCTAAATTTAAGATATAATGTCCATTAAGATTAGCTAAACTCGTAAATTTGGGATATAATTCCTAGTAGCCTAGTAGGGTTCGGAACAAGTATTCCTCCCTTTTTGAGTCCAGTTTGAATCCTGTTCAAACTGCAATTGAATTTGGAGAGCGGCCATTAGTGGAGATGTGAACTGAGAATGAACATGCTAAAAAACACTGTGTTTTACGGTGTTTTCTGACCATGCTAGTGCTGGAGCTCATAAAAAAACACGATTTTGGGACCTGTGAATTCTTTCTTACAAAATATATTCTACCCCCACCTCCCACCCCCCACCACCCCACCCCACCCCCACCCCACCCCCCCACCCCACCCCGCCCTGCCCCACCCCACCCCACCCCACCCCACCCCACCCCCGCCCCACCCCACCCCACCCCACCCCAACCCCACCCCAACCCCACCTCACCCCACCCCACCCCACCCCCCACCCCAACCCCACCCCACCCCACCCCACCCCACCCCACCCCGCCCCGCCCCGCCCCACCCCGCCCCACCCCACCCCACCCCCGCCCCACCCCACCCCACCCCACCCCAACCCCACCCCAACCCCACCCCACCCCACCCCACCCCACCCCGCCCCACCCACCCCCCACCCCCCGCCCCGCCCCACCCCACCCCACCCCACCCCACCCCACCCAACCCCACCCACCCCAACCCCACCCCCCCACCACCCCACCCCCGCCCCACCCCACCCCGCCCCACCCCACCCCCCACACCCCCCACCCCCACCCCACCCCACCCGCCCCACCCACCCCGCCCCACCCCACCCCCGCCCCCCCCACCCCGCCCCGCCCCCACCCCACCCCACCCCACCCCACCCCACCCCACCCACATTTCCCTTGAGAGTTTTCAGGTCTTCCGGAGCTTCAACTTGCAGGGCCTGCCAACGTTGGGCGCTTCCGGCTGGGGTCTCGGCTGCTTCTTGCAGGAGCCGGGCAGACAGTGGGACTTGTGGAGTGTTTGGTTGAGTCCTAGATATCAAGAGATGGGCGTGCTTCAAAGAGGGAACAAAGAGGGCATGCTGGTCAAGACTGGTTTCTCTTGTTTTGCCCTTTGAAGAGAAGTGGTCTGTTCCCTTCCCACGGTTCCGGGCCCGTTATCCCAAGGCCTGCAATGCGTGTGCTTCGTGCCCACACCCTCGAGCCCTCACCAGGAGCGGGGGGGGGCGGGTCTGACTAGACCAATTTAGGTGTAGAGGCTTTTTTTGGAGAACGGTTGCAGTCCTCAGCGATTTCAATTGTGCGATATCGCCAGCGCGCGTCTTTTGTTTGGATGGGGGCCTTTCATATTTGCCGTGCTGTGTATACAGATATGTCTACACACATACACGCTTCCTTTTGTTGTCTTTCCATTTTGTCCTTGCATTCATTGCATTCAAACATGAACACACACATTTCCCGAGAATTCTTCATGGGCCATTCCCGCTTGTCCTACCTTCGCCTTCGAACTTCCTGAGCGAGCCGTTGCGGCAGGGGTACTTCTACGTGGGAAGCAGCATCTCAGGAGCGACGGCTCTCAATTCGAGCTTTTGGTCCGCTTGTTGGCGAGTGGGTATCAATAGCCTTGCATGCTTTTGGCGCAACTTGGCCACTTGCATTCGAGGTAGTTTTTGGGTGAAGACTGGGTGCACGAGGCCGTGTGCATGGCTGACCTGTGCGATAAAACGTGCCATTTTTTCTTGGCCCCTTGTCTAAAGCTAATCTTATCTTGGGTCAGAGTTACTTTGTGCCGGTTTCCCCTGAAGTCACCAGGGGCGTCAAATCTTGAGGCTGTGACAGGGACCGGGACTCGAGACGGCGAAATCGCTGGAGAGGAGAGTTGTACATCTATGAGGTGCCCCTGCTTGAGGAGGGGCAGAAGGCAGCTGGAAAACCGGGCAGGGTGAGTTGGATTCAGAAAAAGAGGGTTGCCATTTCAAGTATTTACTTTTTCCATCTTTTGTGATGCTTTGTTGTGGCTTGCTCAGAGCCCTAACAATGAACACATGGCATGCGCGTCAGGACCAGGCAATGCTTTTGTGAAGTGCTTTCTCACATCACACCGTTCATGCGATGGGAGGCAAATTGTCCGATATGGGGGTAGGCGCGGTGGTCGCACCTAGGAATGCAAGGGGGGAGTATAGCGTGCGCAAACTTCTGGCCAGAGCTCGGGACAACTTGGCCTCCCACTTGGGGGGCAGCGCCTTGGCCGGCTGAGTAGAGGTGTCCCTTGGTAGAGTTGGTGCCCCAAGCGGGTTGAAAGGGAAGGCAAAAGCAAGGCACTCGTGGGGTCTCCCCCGTAGAGAGAGACAAGGCCAAACAGAGTTTGGCATGCGGGTTTCGCCAGTTGCCGATTCTTCCGTTGAGGTGGCAAGCTCAGTGCGAGTCTGGTCGCCTTTGAAGGTGCGGGTGTGTGGCCGCCGCTGGCGGAGCATGTTGATGGGGTGAGAGGGCTTGGATCTCAGGCCTTGTTACGTCATTTAAGAAGCATAGCATGCTGGTTTGCATCCGGGCAAGTAAGGTCTGGTATGGTAAGGCTGCTAAGGCTGGGAAGTATTGGGGTGCTTTGACTATTGCATCCGCGAAGGATAGGAGGTCAATCAATGACAAAACAGGACAATTTTTCGGACGAGCCAGGAAGCCACCACGTGAGGACACGCGATGGTGCAAGCTCCTAAACCAGGGACACCGCTAGCCAACCCAAAAATTGGGGGTCAGCAAGCCTTGGGACCAAATAACTTCAAAGGCAATTCTGGTCCCTGATTAAAGCAAGGAAACAACATAGGCCCAAATGACGACTCTATGAAAGCTCTGCAATGGTGAGCGTACGGATGACACATGTATTCGCCCCCTACCTCAGTATATGATGTTACTTGCTTGCGCTACTTATAGTGAGCTCACTTGGTAGTAGCTGGGCTGGTTGTCAACGCTTCTGGTTCCTTTGCGATTCAGGCAGCCACTTGTGATTTGAGGTTCCAAAAGAGCGGGTGAACACTTCTCTAGCTGTATCCTTCCCACAAAATGGCCCCCAAAGAAGGAGGTTTCTGAAAACAACGCAGGTGAAGAGAGACCCGCCTAGGGTTGTTCAAAAAGGGGATGCCTGTGTTGACCAACCAATGTGACCTCCTTTAAGAGGAGAATAAGGAATGCAACTGACCCAACTTGCACCCTTCCTGGAACGCGACGTAGATTCTAAGCCAACAACACAAGGCCGCCGCTTTTTCGGTGAACCGAACCCTCCGGCGCACGGGGCGGTGCAGGGAAACCCGCGCCTCACTGGCCTTGAGTACCACGAGGGGCAACTCGAGCCGCCCGGGGTGCGGGGTGCGGGGTGGCTAGATGCCGATGGAATGGCCGAGGGTCAAACCAATGGGATCCCATTTTGGGGTAGGTGAATTCACCACCCATTTTGGAACCTATTTTAGTGGGGATTGGCATGTGCACTGGGGGTACGGGATTTTGACCCGTGGCCAAATAAGTTCCTGGTCCCTCTAAAGCTAGATCATTTCTCGCAGGAAGTGATTTTCATTTGTGTTTGGGTGCAACTCTTTTAGGAGCGGTGCTTCACCCAAGTAGTCCGACAGGTTGATTAATCCGGGGTCATCAGGAGATCACTCCCAGGTTTTATTTTTGGTCCCTCCCCCCCCCCTCTCCCTCCCCCCCCCCCCAGCCCCCATAGATGTCGCTGTTGATTGTGGAGGTCTCTGTTGACAAACCAGCAGAGAAATCAGGGTGGGTTACAGCCACCCGAGCGGTTAGTTGATTTGCTGAGAGAAACAGCCTGCAGCTTCCTGTTTGTTTTTCTGCTCTTGCAGGGATTCTGTGACAGAAATCTATGTCGGTATTCGCCCACGAGGAGCACGCAGTGAAATGGGCTGAAAGGCAATCCATCTACGAATGGGTCCACTTTGGTTTCCCAATGAGGATTGCGGAGGATTCGCCAAGCCTCCATTTCAACAGCTCAGTTTATGAATCCAAGATCACAGCACGCACCGCGGCAGTGGTTGCATTTCTGAGTGAGGAATGCGAGGAATCCTGTCTGCTGTCATGCCGCAGTTCCGACAGAGAGCGTAGGTACATCTTTGTGAGCTATGACGAGGGCCTCTCGACACATGTCAGGCCCTCAAGAAAACAGTTCAGGTCACTCACCGCAGAGTCTCAGAAGTATTGCTAGCTGCGATATCAAGAGAAGGCGGCGTACAAACTTAGCATCCTGGCAGCCCCATCCAAAAAAATGCATGTCTTCACTGTTGTTGGCATGTTTTTAGGTTTTCAGTTTTTTGGTTCTGTTACCAAGGGTTGGACAGTTGTCTCACCAGAGAGGAAGATATCCGCCAATTGGATAAAATTGGATAAACACTCTTTTGCTTGCGTAGGATGTCACTGAACACTTCCGCCATAGTTGATTCTTTGGGATTAAGTTTGTTTTGGAAGGGATTCTAGTTTGTCTTTTGGGTTTTTCTCATTTCTTTCAATTAATCCAATAGTGTCGTACTATTCACTTGACCATTGTTTCATAAACTTGTCATAATAATATTTTCATTTACATCATTTATGGTAAACTCATCATGAATTGGTACAACCCGAGTGGTTGGCTTTCATTCTCCGGCGTGCGCCTCTCAGGTCCTCATCTTCCGGGTGCTGGCCTCCGGGATGCCGGGGGAGCTGCTGGAAGAGCACCAGGTGTGCGCTTTTGATCTTGGTCCCCCACCTAGGTGCCCTTTCTCACTGGTTGGGAGGGTTCCCCTACTAAAAAAAGGGTACTATTGGGTACTACTGGGTGCCCTTCTCGGCCAACTTTTTTTGGGGAGATAGTTGAGAGCCCTAGAGTTCCTTCAAGCTTCCTTGGGGTTCCTTAGGGGGTTCCTTAGAGAGGGAATCGCTTGGACCACTCCTTTGGGATGCCACCTAGGTCCCCCAGCTAGGTGCCCGGCCTCTCACCCGTTTGTTTTTTGGTTGGGAGGGTTCCCCTAAAATAGACCACAGAAAAAAGGGCACCCCGGTTCTAACCTACTAAAATAGACAAAGCCGAAAAGCAGAAAAGGGTACCAACTTGTTCTAAGCTCTCAAATCTGGAGGACCTAGTTTGTATTTCGGGTTGGGTCGACGGGCGTGGCCGGTTCCACAGGCGGAAGGAGCCTCTGGGTTTGGGGACATATTGAGGGAACGCTCCCTGGTCTGCCAAATTCCAGATGTGCGGGGCCGCAGCATTTCTGGCCAAAGACAAAGGGAGTTTTTGGCCACTTTCGGGGAGAGGCGGCGCGTTCACATGCGCGGCCGGAGTTCTCCGAAAGCCAGTCAGAGCCACCCGTCTTTTCGCGCGGTTGCCCCACCCCCTTTTTTCCGAGTTTGTGCTTGTTTCCCGGCAGGCAAGAGCGGGGGACTGCAACCGTAATTAGGAGAGCATCAATTCAGTCGGGCCAACGCAGACACCCCAGAAGGGAACCGAAAGATTCCCCAATTACATCCTGACTTCCAGATTTGTTTTCTTTCTACCCTTTGGCACTTCAATTGGCCTGGCCTTTCTGAGTCCACATCTTCCAGGCGCGCGCTCGCGCGTTTTCTTCGGCCAGGTGGACGTGGTCCACGGCTCGGGCGTCGCGGCGCGGCAGGTGAGCGAGGAGAAGTGGGAGGAGCGGACGGACCGGCGCGCGGAGCCGTGAGAGGTGTGGGGTGGGATGGCGACCGGTGGACTCGGCTGCCTAGAATTCTTCTTGCTGAGCCACAAAACAAAAATCTTCTCGGTTTTGGCTTGCCACGTGTTTTTTTTGTTGTTTAATGCTCTGTCTTTGGCCTCAGATCGCCAGCCATGCAAACGGTTTTGAAACTTTGGGACTTAGGAAGCTGGAGGTATCCTTCGATTCGACCGGGCACATGGCGACGGCTCCCTGAAGGCGTGTCTTACAACTTCCCTTTCTTTTCGGACAGCCCCAGCTGGGTCCGCCTATGAGAAAGCCCTGATTTAGGGGAAGGGGCGTACAGTTTCCCTTACAACTTCCCTTTCTCTCCGGACAGCCCCAGCTTGGCGATGAGAAAGCCCTGATTCGGATGGAAAGTAAAGAGCTGGAGACCTTCCTCCATCCAACGAGAGGACTCGGCGAGGCCCTTAGCATGGCCGAGAGTCTGCCATGCGGCAATTGTTCAATCAAATGAGTTTGCTTTGGAGTCTAGCAGCAAGACTCTCAGCATCAATCTTAGTCACTACACTCCCTGGACACTCTTTTTTTAAGACGGGGCAGCAAGTATTCATAGGTGCCCTTTCGGTCAGTGAACGCTGGTTGCACTCGCTTTCATCAGTCAACCAGACACTGATGCAAGCACCATCGGGAAAGCAGCCTTGTGTTTGGTCAGATCTTCTTCGTCTCCGGGGAGAAGATGAAGATCTATGGGCAACTCGGGCAGCTGGGGAGCACCGCTGTTTGCCTGTGTAAGGACTCGCACAGTCCACTTTAGTCGCGCGCGCACGCGCTACTCGCACACTCGCAAGCAGGGTACTTGGAGGGCACTCGCGGAGGAACTGTCTATCTTAGAGCCTCTTGGATCCAGCTACAGGATGTTTAAAGACTCGGAACACTAATGAGGCCAGCATCCCTGCGGTCCCAGTGTATGAAGAGAACACAGCTCATCTCCCCACCTTGTGACACGTCCTATATTTCCTCTCATTTGTGGTTGCTTCACCAATACCTCTCGTTTCCTTTTCGCGAGGAAGTGTCTCGGAGCCGTGAGATCCGTGCGTTGGATGTGAGTTTTGGAGACCGGACCGGACTTTCGGCATGGCTCGCGGAACCGGGACGTCTGCTTGGACAGGGGGATCCCATTGCATGCTTTGTGCAGGGAAACCAAACGGACACATCCAATTTTTAGTTTGGAACCACCTTTCTTTAATGAGGATCCAGTTGGCGGCTTTCCTTTTGTGTCCCTTGCATGGCACCAACAAAGATCAGACACCCCCAAGTACACCCATATGGCAGGCTTCCAGGCCTTCCAGGCGCTCGAGCTGCGAGGTACGGCTTCCGCTTCGTCACCGGCTTCGAGCCCCACGACTTTTGCGCTGAGAGCTTCCAGGCGGGGAAGCCAAAAGGGGGAGGGGGGGGTGGGGGGGGGGTGGGTGGGGGGTGGAGAGGGGGTGGAGAGGGGTGGGGGGGGGTGGAGGGGGGGTGGGGGGCGGGTTGGGGGCGGGTTGGGGGCGGGTTGGGGGGTCGTTTGCGGCCGGGGGTGGGGGTTGGGGTTGGGGTTGGGGGCAGCTTTCTGTGCGAGAAATCACGGCATGTTGAAACTGCCATTGTTGCTCAAAGGTTGCCCTTAGGTGGCACTTGGGGCCCTTTCTTGTAAACAAATTGCAACCAAACCTGGCAGGGAGGCCATTTGACCTTGGTGTCAACTTGGTCGAGCATAAGTGTCCTGTTAAGATTAGTTTGGTTGGACATAGATGGCCCTGGTGTATTTTTCTTTTCACCAGGGCCATCTATTTTTCCAAACGGTCACCCATGGATGGCTTCGGCTCCTTACCTGGGATTTGGCCTACCCGACCGGCCAGGCGCCCAAGGCACACTTCGCGAAGGCACGCGGCGGATCTTTGGCTGGCCTCGTGGCCGTGATGTTGCTAGGCGGGGAGCAAGAGAGAGGGAGGCATGCAGGGACTTTTTGCGGAGAGGGGTCCCATTCTAGTTATTTAGGTCCTGGTAGGTGAGTGCAAAGACTAAACATCAGAGTGAACCAAGAGTTTGTTGAGCTGATTGGCGGCCTTGTACTTACCAGGATTGAGATTTGCGCATCAACGTCGCCAATGAGTCATGCATCGACGCGTTTCGGACTGCAAGTAAACAGAGAAGATTGGTCGCAGAACTCTCGCGGCCTCTCCCTTCCATCTCTGGGAGCCGTTTGTGATGTTTTTTGGGTTTCTTCAATTCTTCGCCATCTCTTCGGCAGGTCCTTAGTCAAGGCGCCACAACGAAGGGCTTTTTGAGGGAACCAACCCGTTTACTAGGGCCACTGACACTGACGCAAGTCACATCCACACTGGCACTCAATGCTTGGTCCCGGCAGGTGTGGTGGACGGCGCGCTGTGAGCAGAGGAGCAGGTCCTGAGCAGGGACAAGAGCACTTTCAGCTGCAAAGAGTGTGAAGGAAATGGCGAAGCAGGACTGCAGGATGGAAGATGAGAAGAAGACTCAGGGCAACAGAGTCAAGGACCTGCAGGAGCAGAGAAGGAGAAGAAGAAGAAGAAGAAGGAGAAGGGGAAGGAGAAGGAGAAGCAGCTGCAAGAGATGGAAACCAGAAAGATGACACAAGGATAAGCTGCAGGAAGCGGAAGGAGAAAGTCAAGGAGAGACAGGACTCTTGCAGAACTAGGTCCCCCAGTAGTGCCCCTTTACCCTTGTTTGCGGGAGGGTTCCCCTACTAAATTAGACAAAACAGAAAAAGTTGGTACCCTTATTCGAACCTCTCAAATCTGGAGGACCTAGAGAAGCAGATGGAAGGAGAGACGGAAGAGCCAAACGGCGCCAGCGCCAACGCAAGGACGGAGGCGCGACTCGCGCCGCTTATGAGTCCGCTACTTCCGCTACTTCCGCGGGCCTTTTGAGGAGGCGACCTTTTTGGGCTTAAGGTCTCAGGCATAGGTGTCCGTTTGATGGGTTTCGAAATGGATGGGGTCCACTGGTTTAGATCGGTTTTATTCCACGCCATCTATCTTTTCGTCGTCTCAAGGCTGCAAGGGTCAGGTGTTATCCCCGCATGCTCCAAAACTGAAGGGGGAAGCAGGCCAAGAACGGGATGGCTTTTCGCGCCTTTGAAAGGCGGCAAAAATCGGGGCCACCTTGACAACCCCCCAAGTGACACCTGTAAATCACATTAAGCATGGGACTTGTCAGAGACACCGCCATGCTTGACAGCTGTGGAATGCGGGCCAAAACTCAGCGACCTTTGGCGGTCTTTCGTGCAAGCGTGGTTTGTGCACAGGAGAAGCTGAGCTGATAGCACCGCCTCATCTATTTTCCACGTCTCTGTGCCCTTGCCGGCCGAGCTTGTGTAGAACTTGCTGGCCGTTGAGAAGACGCCGCTCAGCAGGGAATGAGAGAAATGGAATGACCCCAAAGTACACCATCCCCAAACTTGGTTTCCTTTAAGGGACCAAAGCCCGGGTTCATTCCCGCGTTCCCTGCTTGCTCAGCGGAAAAAACAACAACAGCGGAATGGCAGCGAGGTCGGAGGTGCGAACCCTGCTGATCCTGAGTGTCAGGTGTCGTCAGCGCAAAAACCGCTTAGCCGTGGAAAACCCAACGAGTTCCTTTTGTTCCAAAAGGACGTGATGAAAGGAAGTGGACTTAGGACGTGACGAAAGGAAGTGGAATTGATGATTTAGGCCAAGTCCGTGTTCCATGAAAGCCGAAAGGAAGTGATGGAACGAAGTGATGAGACGCGATTTTCACCCCGCCCAGCTGAAGCTTGGCTCAAGCGATCCTATGGCAGAGAGCCCCCGCGCTAAAAACAAAACCGTGTGCCGGGTGTGAAAGCTTGCCCCATCCAGCCCCGAGAACCAGCCGCTCGGACCTGGCTTTGCCGTCGGCTTGCCATCCTTTTTGCCTTGTTTCGTGTAGATGTGAGTCAGATGCCAAGAGAGGGGCCGCAAGATCAGACGCAAAAAAAAAGCCGCATAGGGCATTTGTGCCGTCGACGGAGTCAGCCCAGCCAGCGATCGAAGAACCTGGAGCTCCGATGTTGGATCTTTGGACTTCAAGTCTTCGGTTACGACATGTTTTCCTTTGGACCCACAAGTCATTTTTTTGCTTTTTATATCTAACTGTTTGAACCTTTCTTCAGATGTTCTTCAACCTTTTGGTGGTTGACACCTTCGTCGGACTTTCCGCATTGGACCCGCAAGAAGTGGAGCTCCGATGCCATGTCTTCGCTGGTGTCCTTGTCGGGTGATGGCCCGTGGGCCCAGTGCAGGGCGGGGGGGGGGGGGTTGGTGCCCTTCTGGCACCTGGAGGCCCAGACTTTTTCTTTTTTTTTTGGGCCGAAGACGTTTTAATTGCCGAGAACCCCCCCCAAAAGTTGTCGACGCCGCCGGTTTTGGGGGTGTCGATGTGAGACATGGCCTCCCACACGCGGACGTGCGCGGACCCCTTGTCAAGAGGAACATAGACGTCCACAAAGGGGTCAACAAACACTTCCATCCATGTGGGAGACCCCCTTCTTTTAGGTGTTCCGAAAAAGGGACATTCCGGACATGGGGGCTGATCAATATTCTGTTCGGTCCCAAATGACCATGGGCAACTTTTTCCCATTTAACGGTTGAGCTCATTTTTACCAGACCTTTCCGGAAAAAAAAAAGAAGTCACCTCACGTTTACCAGACCTTTTGATATCAACCCTGTGCCCAAATAGCCCAAAGGTTAAACCCTTTCAGGCATTCTGCATTTGGTCCCTCCCAGGCAGCGAAACGGGACTTGGCCCCTTTTGAAATCAACCCATTTCAGGTACCCAACTCGCCCAAAAGCTAAACCCTCCTTTGGGCCGGGTTTTCCCAAGCGGCCCAGAGACTCCAGCGTTTTCGTTTCAGACATATGTATATATATATATATATATATATATGAATATCCCTCCCTTCTCTTGGTGTAGAGGACCAGTCTTTTTTTTCCGCGTTTTCGTTTCAGCCGCGGACAAATCCAAGGCACCCCACCCTTTAAGGTGCCAACACCGCCCCCCCCCTCCCCCCCGGTGCCCCGGTTGCGCCCACCTCGCCCGTCCGTTTCTCTCGGCCGCTCGGCGCTTGCCGCTCCGAGGCCAGCGCGCCCTGAAGCCCGAGGAGCTCTTCGAGGATGCCATCGCGCAGGCGCTGCGCGCAGGGCGGCCCGGAGGTTTCTTCTTTCGGGACGGCGGGGTCCCGGGCGAGGGGCGAGGTTTTTTTCGACGTGTTCTCGGCGGTTTGGATGGGAGCGGGCTGGATGGAGGAGTTTTTTTTCTTTTTTCCCGGATGGGGAGCCGGTGTTCTTTAGTCTTCAAAAGCTGGTTGCTTTTAAAGAGAAGCCGGAAGGACATGTTCGCCAAGGTGGGGGGATCGCGGCCGCAAGTCGTACCGGGTGTGTGATCATGGCAAGGGTTCATGAGGGGGGGGGACTTTTTCCATTTACTTTGGTCAGCCAGTGAGGGGTTTCATGTGAAGGATGGACTGGAGCTGTCTTGGGATCTGAGGGTCAGAAGACGAGCGAACAGAGCAGGAAGGAGTTCGTGGACAAGCTGAAGGCCGGGGCAAGTCAAGGAAGGGCCTGGAAGTACCGGAACCCCAACCGGCGTAAAATGGTGGATATGATTGAATGCAGAATGCCTCCGTGGGGTTTCATTTTGGGGCTATTTGGGCACATGCTTTCAATTTGCGTGATTTCTGTGTCTTTAGCTGCCTAGGGTATGGGTGGTGGAAGTTTGGGGGCAGCAGCGCAGGACAGGGTGTCGGAGGCCATGAAGGACAACAACCCCAGCTTTGTGCGGCAGGTGCTCGACTTTTGGTCGAAAGCTGGCTTTGGGCTGGGGGTCGGGAGGACTTTGCTTTGAGCTGTCAGACTCTAAGGGTGGAAGTACATACCCCCTGTTCGTACTCCTCAGCTTCCGTGGTTGGGGAGATGGGTATGAACGTCAGCAGGCCTTTTGGGTTCATTTGTCCAAGGGGTATGTCAAAGGGGTATGTACAAGGCTCGCTCGGAAGAAGTGGCACCAGAGCAGCTGATTCTCAAAGTTGGGGCCACCAACAGCGCCGATTCGCGCCGAGGACTGCCTCCGTGTGAACTGCTTCAAAGACATGGAGGCAGGGTTCGGTCTTTGATTCAACATGTTGTCAGCCCATTGTTTGCGAGAACCCCTGAGAATGAGAATTGGAATGACCCCCCTGGTTTCCCTTAAGGGAAACCCGGGCTGAATCGCCCAACTGTGCCTGTGGGGCCGAGAATGTTGGTTTCCTGTAAAGAGGGGCCTTTGGTTATCTCGTTTTCCCGTTTTGCTTCGCTTGCTGGTATAGGGAATGACAACGAGTCCGGGTGTTGGGAATGCACCGGGTCAGGAGATTCCCTTCAATGAAACTAAATCGGGTTCAGGTTTAACACCTGACCCTTGCAGCCTTGAGACCATAGGTGTCCTTTTTGGTTGGTTTGCTCAAAAAACAGAGGGCCCTGGTTTTAGATGGGGTTTATGCCCCATTTACCAGGGAAACCCATCGATTTTTCCAAAAGGCCAGCTATGCTTGAGACGACACTCCGATAGCTGACCAAAGGTGGAGAAGTAGATGGGCCAGGAGTCTAGCCGTTTCTCTCATTCTCAACCCAGAAGCTCCTGGCTTCGGCTTTCAATGGAAGACCCGACCCCCCCATTAGTTTCCCGGGGAGGTGGTTGGGGGTCTCAAAACCAGGTTGTTTGCAATCGGGAGACTCTGGGAAGTTAGGACTTTAACTTTTTGCCAACTAATGGGTTTTCCATTAAACCACTAAAAGTTAAAAACTTTTAGCAGGGGGAGCAGATTTCGCAACCGAGAAATCGCGGACAGGACAGCAACAACTCGGTGTACACCTGGAACGCGCGGAAGAGTGGGCTCATGGCCATTGGCGCTGTGGCCATCGGTGCGGAGGCCCAGAAACACCAAGGACCAGTGCATTCCTCCTGGTGGTTCTCCGGTTTTGTAGGTGGGCATGGCTCAAAAATAGGGGCCCAAAATGGAACCCTGGTAAATGGAAAGGTAGACTAAAACCTGCGTAACCCCAGCTGTTTGCTTGTGAGCCACGCCCAGGTCGCTTTGCGCCAAGCGTCGGGCACAACGGTCCGTCAGCTTCATGCGCGTCCGGCGCGCGAGTCATGTAGCCAAGGTCTTGGCTCAAAAGTGGGGGACTTCTTGAAAGCTGCTCGGCTCGCGATTCAGCGCAGCTTTGCTCACTTGACTGCTATTGGGTTGGATCTTTAGACTAACTTTGTTGGGAAATAATAGCGTTTTCCACTAAACCCCCCCAAAAAGTTAAGCTTTTTGCAGGGGGATCAACAGCAACCAAGCTCAAAGGATGTGCTCAGAGGGTTCCTTGCTAGTGAAGAATGCAGGTCGGAAATCTGTACCGATGAGTCACTTTGTTTTCTCACCCAGGCTTTCATTTTTCTTGTTTTCTCCCCGAAGCCGCATGACCTCCATTTTTTTCTCGCGTCTCGGGGCAGGACACCAAGCCACCGATTTTTTTGGCTCCACCAAATCGACGGGGGCGCCTGGGCTGAGGACATCATGGGCCTTCTGCTAGGCCCAGATTCGAAGCATCTTGGCCCCTTCCTCGCGGAGGCCTCCAGTGACACTGAGAGCCATCGTGCCGGGGGGCCCTGGCTGGGCTGGCTGGTCTGACGGGTGGAGGGACCGGCTTGGGTCTAAAGATCGAAAGAACGAGGGTGGTTGTCTGTCTGTCTGTCTGTCTGTCTGTCTGTCTGTCTGTCTGTCTGTCTGTCTGTCTGTCTGTCTGTCTGTCTGTCTGTCTGTCTGTCTGTCTGTCTGTCTGTCTCTGTCTGTCTGTCTGTCTGTCTGTCTGTCTGTCTGTCTGTCTGTCTGTCTGTCTGTCTGTCTGTCTGTCTGTCTGTCTGTCTGTCTGTCTGTCTGTCTGTCTGTCTGTCTGTCTGTCTGTTTGTTTGTTTGTTTGTTTGTTTGTTTGTTTGTTTGTTTGTTTGTTTGTTTGGTTTGTTTGTTTGTTTGTTTATTTGTTTAGTTTTCCTTCAAGGCCGACCAGGGGTATGCTCAACAAAGCCCTCCCCTCCCTCCCCCTCCCCTCCTCCCCGAGCGGAGCTGAGGTCCGGTACCTCTCCTGCGAGGCCCTCTTCAACGTGGCGAAGATCGCCCAGGAGGCGCCGCTGTTCCGAAAAACCTCCGCTACAGCGCGGGCGTTTGACTGGGATGGCTCCTTTGGGTCCCTAACTAGGTCCAGCTAGGTGCCCTTTCTGCCCATTTTTTTTGGTGGGGAGGCTTCCCCTACGAAAATCGACGACAGAAAAAAAGGGGGTTTTCATGGTGGTTGTTGAGAAGCAGTCTTTCTTACATGTTTGCTTCTTTGGCTTGGTGGTTGAAAGCCATATCCACTGAACTGCTAACCTTCCACCGGTTCCAACGTCGTTGTGGAGCAGAGCGGCTATTCCTCAAAGCTCTTTGTTCCAACTCGCCGCAAAACCGGCTCCCCTCTTGGCCAATGCCAATGCCTCAATATATTTAAGTTTCTGCTCCCGTAACCCAGCGTCAACCAAGTTTTTCTGGTGCAAAGGGCTCCTTGGAATTGCCTAAGGTTGGTACAGGAACACACACCCACACAAAATGCTTGTCCATTGGCTTGTCCCTTGTTGCTTTTAAAGGGAATCGATTTCGCTACCGGACTTTTTTTTTCTTCAGGGGACGAAAAAGCAAATGGAGGAATGGTGGTGTTCGTTTTGGTTTCTTTTTAAGCCCACAAAAAAGGTGCCCTGAAACAACGATACAGCCACAGATTCACCGGCAGGTCTTTATGTTTTGTGTCTGGACTTCAAGCTGGCATGCATGTGCCGCGCATTTGATGATACTAAGCAAAACGGCCTCATTGATTTCAAACGAGGCTCAGGATGACAAGCGAAGCTCAAAGTTAGACATAAACCACTGTGGCAACGTGTACGACTGACTGCTGGGTTCAAGATCTACGTACGTTTTGGTGCAAATTGAGTCAATGTGCCGCTGCATGAATGTGAGCCAATCATCTTCCTTTCAGGAAGCATCGTCATGTGCAATTTTATCATCAGCACGAATCTTGAACTAGCACACTACAAGTTTAGTCTACAGCCACGCACCAAACCCAGGCACACAAATGCGGACGCATGCACGTGCACGGACGCACCCACGCACAACACACAGACACACATGCACCCACGCAACAACGCACCCATGCAACATAACACCCTCACACTCAGACGTGCAATGATTTCACCCTCACCCAAGCACGCACACCCACACGCACCGACGCGCACTCCCACGTGTGCACGCACCCACGCGCACTCCCCGGCCGCACCCGCAGCTCGCTGCACCTGCACGGCCCTCGAGCTCCCGCTGACGCGAATCTTGTGGGAAATGCCCTAGTGCAATCCCAGGATAAAGCAACCTTCTGTCAGATCTGGCACTTCTTCTCCCCGCCTCTTGCAGAGCCGGGTCTGTCCTTTTAGGGGATTTCCACTACCCCCAAGTGGCGTATATATATATATATTGTTTTTTTGGTGTAAATATCATCAACCTAGTTAGTTGGTGGTGGAAACCATCTAAGACAATTCAGGTGCCTATCCTTTAATTACATGGCTGTGTTTTTTGGAGGACTCCACGTTTTGTGGTTTCAACGGGGAAATTTGCCAAAAGGACACCACCCGTTTGGGTGGTCCCCCCCGAAAACCACCCATATATTATTGTTTATGCGGGTGCAGCCCCGTTTAAACCGGAGCTGGTGGGTGACTCCAGGAGCTGCTGCCATACCTGGCGCGCATCTTCGACGGCCTCTCCCGGCTCTATGCGGAGCGGTTGGGCGATCGGGCGGCGAAACCCCTTGGTGGATGGATATGGGGTGGCCCGTTTTAGAGGGCATCCTTTTTTTCTGGGGGGACCACCCAGAATCTGCCAGCTTGGGCTTTCTAAAGGTTGGACCCTCCAAAATTGGTGGTTTTCCCCAATATGGTGCCCTCAAACAAAGACAGACCCATTTTGGAAAGAGAACTGATCAGTTTTGGGGGGGAACGCCACGATTCTGCCGGGTTGAGTACAACAGGGGCCGGCGTTTTTAGGGGCGGATGAGGGGAGCGAGGGAAGTTGCCAACGTTGGCCAGCCGATGGCTGGTGTTGGTGGGTTTGTATGTGCTTGAGTGCCTGCATGTGCGCCATGGTCAACACACCTGCTTTTCTTGGGACCTTGGGATGGATGGTCGTAGACCGTGTTAGAGGGAATTTAGACAACCATTTAAGGCTTGTTTGTAAGGGAGCTACGCTACGACCATAATCATGATCCAGATGAGGCCATGTCAATCTAATGTAATGTAATGCAATGTCATGTCATGTCAGGTCTTGTCATGTCATGTCATGTCATGTCTGTCTTGTTTGTCTGTCTGTCCGTCTGTCTGTCCGCGGGCTGCCTCTTTGGCTGCTGCTGTGGTGCGGCAAACCGTTGGTTGGCTGGTTGGTGGTTTGGTTGGCTGGTTGGCGGCCGGCTCCATGTTTCCATGGTTGTGCGGCCTTGAACGGGCGGCGGGGACGGCTTCGGCCACCCCCATATCCGTGTGCAGTTTTGGTTCGGGGGCTGCCACACGCTCAACGTCTGCGCACTGTCTGTCTGTCCGTTTGCGTATTTGTGCATCAGACTGTGAAACGCTAAGCATCGTTCTTATGACACCAACACATTGGCACACAGTCTTGTTTCTCATTTTTTCGGTGTTTACATGTTTTGAGACCTTGACTACAGAGGTAGTTCATGGGCGTGGTGACCATATGTACAATATGTAGATTCATTATATATAGATATCTGTCTAGATGCCCTTTGCGTGTCCCCTCTAAAAGTTTGTCCCTTCTCAAAGGTTTAGCCTGACACACACACACACACACAACACATATGTATATATATATACATATACATATATGTATATATATATACATATACACATATGTATATATATATATATATATATATATATACATATGTATATATATATATATATGTGAATGTATGGACCCGTCTTTTTGATCCGCCTTTCGGCCGGATCGAGAGGACGTGGTGGCGGACGTGCGCCACGCCGCGCAGGTCCTGGACCGGCTGCTGCGGGAGCCTTCCGCCGAGTCGTCGCCATCGCTGAGTCCATCGGTTGGGTGGATCTCAACCGGAGGGTGATTGCATGCTGGGTGTCTTGCAGTTTTTTTTTTTTTGCATTTTGAGGCTTCTCCATGTCTTTTTTTTGAGTTTTGTTCCGACCCTCTAGAACCCTTCTAGAGGGTCGGGTCATGTTGAGGATGTCACTTCATGGACCCAGTAAAAAGGAGACTTGGGCTTGTCTCCATCGTTGGCTCAGCGCGATCTCACCAAAACCCATTCGGGCTTATGGGGTCAGGGTAGGGACCAGGATTGTCTAGGGCTCGTCTGTGTTTTTGCTTTGTGGGATCAGTGATGCCCAGCAGCCGGGCAACAAGTTTGATGCGAGTGGCTCCTCTATGAACGCAGGAAGAAAGCTGTGTGCCGGGTTGGCCTTTTTGTGTCAACTCCAGACCGCCAAAAGGTCAAGGTCCCATGTTTGTTTCCTTGAAGCCATTACGGCCGCATCTTGCATGTGTTTTCAGGGCATCACCCAGGGTTTTGGGAATCCATGTGAAGGTCTGGGCTTTTTTGCCCGACCTGGATGTCTCGAGCCCAAAAAGGGGCTCAAGAGGCGACGGATTCCGGTTCTTTTTTGACTCGGGGCTGTTACTTACATGTTTTACATAATTTTACATAATTTTACATAATTTTATATAATTTTACCACTTGTTTGACAGTTTCACAGTTTGAACACCACCAGGATTGGTCAAATGGCCGGGATGGGTTTGGCGTTTTTTGAGCACCGACTCGGCACGGTTGAGTTTGGCGTAGGGGTTTCCTCCATTTCCCGTTTTTGGACCAGGATCAGTGGGGCAGTTTTGTTGGAACCTACCAGTAACCTGCAAACTTTAGGGCTGTATAACCCAGTAGTGCCTTCCCTTGCTCGCGCTTGCCTGGTCCCTTGCTCCGTTCCCGGTCCTTCGGCTGCTTGTTTAAACAAAACTCACCCGTCTCAGGTGATGGTTTGGGGATTTGAACTGCTGGTTCTTGTAGACGGTACATGGGAAGCCCCTCAACCACCAAACCACCGGGCTCCAAACCTCCAATTAGAGGGGGGCTGACCTTGTCAAGATAAAATTAAATTCTACCCTTCGAGGGCCCGAAGAGGAAATCGATCTTTTGTTCTTCCAGGCGCCCTTCCACAAATGCGTCATGTTGGTGGGAGGAAGGTTATTTTACTAAAAGAGATCTATGCTCCGCATCCTTTGGCGAGGGCTAAGCTTCTGTACGTGTGAGGAAGGTAGAGATGGACCTTTTGGCGGGGTTGACCAACATCTGGGCAAAGCCCGCAACAGCAACATGGTGCATGAATAGGGGTTACAAAAACTCGGCATTGAAACGGGGGAAACCAAAAAGGTGATTGTTGAATCAATATTGGTTTAGACACGTTTGAATCAGAGGGCAAGGATCCTTTGTTTTTTGGTTCATGGCCCAAATGAGGTTTGGTCCAAACTATGGTTCAAACGAGGGGGGGCCCAATTGCCCTCCAGGACGTAACAAGACCCGCAACTCCGTTGTTTACAAAAACTAGGGCAACCACCCAACAAACGGCGTGCGCCGACCCCCCCAAAAAAACGCGCGCATCCAAGTCCACCCTCCCCATGCCAAGCACGGTACCCAGCGGAAGTCCGTCCGAAGCGAGGAGATCGTCACCTCCCACCCGGAGAAGTTCGAGGTGGATACCTTCGCGGAGGAGGTGTGCACCAGGAGGGGGAAATGGAACCGGCAAGGAAGGGGGCCAAATGGTTGCTGGAGGGTATGGGGGGCGCTGCTGCCCAGAGGTTCACTGGTTCACAAGGAGAAGGCGTAAATGGGTGGGGGTGGGCGTTTGATTCCCTTTCAAGCTCAAAAAAGGATGGTCAAAAGCACTTCGCTTGACTCCGTGTTGGATTCCTATTGTATCATGAGCTGTAAGGATTTCTTCTAAGCCGTGACTGCGGCTTAGGTTTGGCCTTGAGGTACAGCAAAAACAACATGTTTGTTTCAAGGACACCTGGGATGTGTTGTTGGGGCAGTAAACTGCCTGGCCTTCTGGAGGGAGGGAGCCTTGTGGAGCTACCAGACCTGTGAGGGCATGGTAGGGTGATGAGCCATTGGGTGTGTCTCTGTTTTGTTTGATGGCACCTTCTTTTGGGTGGTTTCCAAGCAAACCGGCAACCATTCATTCGCTGGCTTCAATCGGTTTCCCACTTAGAGAGAAACCTATTGACCCAACCCAACTTCCACTCAGTTGCCCAAAGCTGAGCTTTCGAGCTTTCGGGTTCTGCGTTCCGTTTTGGTCAAAAGGGGCAAATGGTTTCGTCCAGGATGAAATACAAGAACCCCATGATCCGCCAGCTCTGCCTGGGCTGGACCAACCTCATCCTGCAGATCGCCCAAGTGGATTTGGTCGGCCCCTCGCCGCATGACTCGCGCTCGGACGATCCACGCGCGCGCGCATGACCGGCCCGGGCAAGGGGCCGAGAAAAGCCACAAGCGAGCCACAATCAAAACCCTGGTAGATGAAGGTTAGTAAGGGGCAGTCCCAGCCAGAGATAGTTGCGGAGATCCGGCTTCTTAATTCTTGAAGCATGGTTCTGGGATTACGACCATTTTACTCAGGGTTCCACTTTTTGAGTACCCCAAGATAGACTTAAGCCCAGGGGTGGTTGATGTCCCCCAACGGGAAACCCCTGTGTTTTGATTGTGACTCAAGTGGAGAGCCGGAAGTTGTTTTTTAGGCGAGTCACTGAGAGTCTGGTGTTGGTTTGGGGTGGCAAGGGACAAGTCAAAGTTGGAGAGGGACCCCTGAGACTCTGGGGAATCAAAGATTGACTGGACTTCGTGTGGAGAAAGCCGACTAACTTTCTCCCTTGGCCCCCTTGTGCCATACCTGAAGTTTGAGTTTTCCCGGTTTGCAACTGAGAGGCGTCTCGAGCCACATCCGCACGCCTTGTCGAACATTTTTGTTTTGCTTCAGCATGGCTGCTGAGAGAAGTTTGGAGGCAGAGTAAACTCAAAGGTGTCCGTCCGGGTCAGTTTGTTCGAGATGCCACAGGCTTCCGTGAAATATCACATGCTTCAAGCCGAGGAAGCAATCCGAAAATCATCCAGGGCCTCTTCGCACCTTGGCTGACATGGCCACATTGCCGGTAACTCATGGCTTTAGCGGCGCTTGCTGCCACACACCAACCCATGGTGGGCATTTAGATGTTGGCTCAGGAACACTTGGCTGACGACCACAGCCGGGACAGCCTCCAGAATGCTCAAAACCTCCTGGAGCAGTGTATCGAAAAGGCTCGGTGCAGGGGTATTGTGGGTCAGAGGCAAGCCATAACCAAATTCTCCACCAATGAAGCCATATAGTATACGGAGACTCCAGTACATAAATGACTTGTACTGTATGAGTAAGACGATCAAGTTTTCGGCTCAAGGAACTTCTTTCTTCAAAGGTTGAGCCTTATGGATCTGCAACTTGCGCAGGAAGTGGCGTGCTGGTGTCTGTGGCATTGACATATGGTTGCATGTTACAGTTCCCCAATGTTGAGCAGACCTGGCTCAGCTTTGGCAGCATCGACGAGAAAGGGGGACAGGAGCAGGGCATGATGAACGTAGCGCTGAGTAAAACTTTCAAGAACTTTCGAGGCTGTTCAGCTGTGAAAATTTTCCCTTGGCTGCCCTTGTCGCTTCGGTCTTTCTATACAGAATCTCAGTTGTTCAGTGGCTCCCTTTTTCCTTTTTTTTTGGTGGCTGCCCCACTACAATGGTCCAAGCCCAAAAAAGGGTTCCCTTTTTTTCCAGGGTCACTGAACAACTGAGGAATTTGCCGGCAGTTTGATTGGAGTCGGTTTCTGCTGTTGGGACTCGCTGCTTGTTTTTGTGTGCCATGTTCTCAACCCCCGTGCCATTTTCCCAAACCAGAGTTGTGAGATACTCTCCGTGGGAACTTTATTGAACCATGTCCCTTTTAGCCGGCCTTGTCAGCTTGTGGGTTTTTCTCCCTTTTGGCCACCATTTTTGGTCGCGGCCAAAGGTGATCTCACCTTATATCTTCCCCAGAATGAGCTCCCCCTTTTGCTTTCTTGCTTTTTTGGGGTCCGTTTTGTTTTCCACGCACTAGGCAAACCAGATCTCAATTCTTTGCTGGGGTCCGATTTTTCCAGCCAAGAGATTTGTGGCTCCGCCATTCTCACCAGGTGAAAGCCAGCCCTCTGGCCACAAAGCGGCTGCCCCGTGGCCGGCAAAAAGGAGAAAACCAAAAAGAGCCGTGGTCGGTTTTTTGACCCTTCTGCTCTTGGCGAAACAAATCAAGAAAGAAAAGGCGAAACGCAAGAAACACCATGGTCTTTTTTTTCTCCCCCGTTTTTCTTGGGGTGTATTCTTTGGGATGGTCATCCTGGTAGCAGGGATCCTTAGCGACCATGAGAATGATAGAACATGATCCTATTGAGGGAACCATGGCCGTGGGCCAATAAAACGGAAGTCTTGACCATGGCACATGTGCGCAAAACACAGACCGATCTTGAATGCGACCTTGTGGCTTTTCCACTTACCTACGAAAGGCGATCGACAATCTGCTTGAAAGAAAGAGTAAGAGCCCAGAGGTTGTCAAGACTCTTGGCCGCGCCCTTTCTGGGATGCCCTTTTTGAGATGCCCTTTTTGTTGGCCAAACAAGGTGGTGGGGTTGAGACAAATAGAACATATATTGAACAAGCCTCCGCATGGGTGCATTTGCGGGTTAAACAACTACAAGCATCATTCTCCTATGTCGCGGCAATTGGTGATCTTGGCATTTTGACCACGGCTCATAGGTATGAATTTGAACTGGTTGGACCCAATAAACCATCCAAGGGAATCCCCAAAACCGGTTCATTCCCAACATGGCATTCCCAGCTCAGAAATGGATCCCTGTCAAACGTGCAGGCACGCGGCTAGATGCTCCGATGGTCCCTTCACTACAACCAAAGCCTCAGGGCCCGAGCGTTTTTTTCGGAACCGGAGGCCTGAGGGCATTTCGCGCATTCCAGGCATTCAGCGTTTCTCAGCCAAGGATTGTCTTCAACACAGCGGCAGACCTCGCCAAGAACTGCCGGAAGGAGGACAGCAAGATCCGCTTTCAATCCATGTGCCGCTTGACCCGAAATGGGATCGGCCAGAGGGCAGGCATCAGGTCACTGTGTCGAAGCCAACTGGCTGTGGCTGAAAAAACCGGAATTCCAAGATGGCTTGCCCTGGTAAGTGGAAAACATGGACCACCTGCGGTTTGCCGTAGCCGGCCCTTAAGTTTGGAGCACCCAAGTAATTTAACTTCAAAGTTTGGTTTGTTCGGGACCTTTGCGCCAATTTGCGCGATGGATTGTCAAGGTGACAGGTGGTCTGGAGGAGAGTTTCTGCTTCAGGGACTTGCTATGTAGTATGAGCTGTGCTTTTTTGCGAGTTCAGCAGGGGTGACTGCCAACGGGCCGGTGAAAAAACGGTTGCGGTCCTGAGAGCTCTCCTCTGCCGTGTTATGCCAAGGCCGCGTGGCAGATATGCAGAAGCCGCAAGTGGTCCCCGCAAGTGCTAGACCAGCTTCGACACTGGACCCAGAGAGGAATGTTGCTTACTTTCATGGTCCTGGAAGAGTCTTTGGGTGAAGAGTTGAGGAGCGATTGCAGGCAGGGTTCCACTTTTTGGCTACCTGCTGGGCTGAAAAATGAGCCGGGGGTTCTGCTTTTGAGTCTACCCTAAACAGTCAACACGTGGAAGCCTGTCAGTTTCCTGAAGGTCCTGCTTGGCAGATCTCAAGCGATGTGAAGCACGGAAAGGCCCAGTATGCTTTGATGCTTTGGGTCTCTGAATGCTCTGCTTTGTCCAAGCTTCCAACATCATCGTTGCTCAAAATCCTAAAACACACACCTCATACACGTCTAGTGGTTTAGCTTGGTGGCTTGATTTGAAGCCCCCCCCCAAGCCTCTTAAAAGCAAATCTTCCATTTGCTGAAATGAACATTTTTTTTACACTCTCGGTTTTTGCTCATTTTTTCCAGGGCGTGAAAAAGCAAATGGAAGAAGTTGCAAGGTGGCTGGCCTTCAATCCGTCCGTCCTACTCCGCTTGTTGGTGGCGTGACTTCTTGCGACCGAGGGTGGCTCCTGGAGTACGTGCACTTCACCCCGGGCTACGGGCCAACTACTTCCGTCAAGGACGAGGAGGCAAGAAGCATTCAGACTTTCCGACTTCCCGCCTCTCTTGTAATTTTGAGCTGGAGCTACAGGCTTTCCGAGCCGTTTCCCTTTAAACCTCCAGAAGTGGCGATCGTTTCAATGGAAACCAGACAATTGCAACCTTTGAAGGGGAGACATCCGGTGATCCGCCTTCCTTTGCGCGATGCCGTGCAATCTTCGCCCATTTCGTTACGCCGATGCCGCAAATGCCAGGGTGGTGGCTTTCCGACCTCCTTATCGTTGGTCAAAGCGTATGGCTTCGCCAAAAGTGCCGGTAGCTTCATTTTTCCGAAGGGAGACTCCAAACATGAATCTCCCAGATCACCGGCAGATCAACCCGGTCAAGATGCCAAAGCCGTAGGTGTCATTTTGCGGTTGGTTTGGCTAGAAATCGATGGGTTCCACTGGTTGCGACGGAGTTTCGGGCCCATTTACTTGGGAACTCCTCAATCGGCGGATGGAGTCTGGCGGAATCTTCGCAAATGACGGGTTTTCCGAGACGCGAGTGCGTGGACCGAGAGCAGCCCCAAGGAATTTGTGGTGAGGGATGTGAAGGGTAGTGAGAGTATTAGTCTACTACCGAAAAAAATGAAGAAGAAAAAGAGCATGTGTCTTCCTTTTCTTTTTTTTTAACCAACAAAAACACAACAAAAAGAGGGAGAGCATGCGTTTTCTAAAAAAGAACAACAAAAACACAACATCCAGGGGAACATAAGCAAGTGGAGGATGTCCAAACGAGTCTCATTTCGCCCGACTGCGGGCGGTCTGGTTCGCGCCTGGGCCCTCGTCCCAGGTGAAGTTGTGGTGGCAGAAGTGGGCGGAGGCACTGCCGCAGCTCATCGACGGGGTTTGCTGCTGTATCGGCTGCGAGGATGGCAAGGCAGGTGTGTGTGTGTGTGTGTGTGTGTGGGTGTGTGTGTGGGGGTTTGAAGGGATGTGGGATTGTGTCTAGAGGTGGGCAGGAGAGGTGCCCGTTGATATTTATGACAGCCAGTGGAAGGGGGGAACATTCACTGATCTATTTTTGTTCATGGAGCAATCCTCAAGGCTGATCATGGAAAGCGAGAATTGACCTGCTTGATTTATGTTTGTTTGTTCGTGTCAGGGTGCTGCTCGCTTGATTTCTGATTCCTTCCCTGCATTCCTTGGCCGGCTGACGGCTTTTCGCTTCCCGTGTTTCTTTTCGCGGTTTCGAGAACAAGTTGCTTCGGCGGCATTTTCGTACTTGGTAAGCCTGGTTTCCGTTTTTTTGTTGGCTTCCCCTGAGCACTTCCAACCAGACTTAGCTCCCCTTTTTGCTTTTTGGCTTTTTTGGGGTTCCCTTTGTTTTCCACTCACCAGGCAAAAAATATAATTTTTTGCTGGGGTCCTAATTCCAGCCAAGAGCATGGGTGGTTTCCCCGGGGGTTTTTGTTGGGGGGAAACCCGACATTTTTGTTGTTTTCCCTTGCGTTTCCCTTTGCGTTTCCCTTTGCGTTTCCCTTGCCAGGACAAAGCGACGGTGTCGAGCATGGCAGTGGCCGCTTGCTCGCGCAACTTTGGGCATGCGCCAGGGGCCGGGATGTGACTTTTGCGGATTTATGCCGGTAGAATATTGAGCTTCCATTTGCTGACAATGGTTCTTTTTTTCCCACAAAACATAACGTGTCGCCCACAAGGTCTTATTATGCTGTATGGTCGTGCTGATAGGTTTCGAGTTGGGTTTAGGGTTTTTAGGGTTCAGGTTTAAGGTTTTTAGGGTTTAGGTTTAGGTTTTTAGGGTTTAGGTTTGCGGTGTGTAAGGTTTAGGTTTTGGGTTGTTAGGGTTTAGGTTTAGGGGTTTTAGGGTTTAGTTTAGGGTTTTGAGGGTTTTTAGGGTTTGTCGGCTTGTTTTTAGGGTTTAGGTTTAGGGTTTTTAGGGCTTAGGTTTAGGGTTTCTAGGGTTTAGGTTTGCTTGGAGCTGGCTGTCCAGCGCATCCGAGGCTGGCTTTTCTGGTTTAGGTTAAGGGTTGTGTTGATGATAGCAGTATATAACCACGAAAAGCCGCCGCGCTCCATGAAGGGTATGGAGCATGGAGCTGGGGTGGGGCCCGGGGGGCTCGGAAGTGCGTTTTTGCTGCGCCTGCCACGCTTTTTGAAGGTCTTGGGGACCCGCTTCCGGGCGGCCGCGGGCAACACATACGTTTTGGCCGTTGTTTTTCTTCTTTTTTTATTGTTATTATTTTCCCCTGTTGGTTTTAAAGGGAATCTATCACTACTGGATTTTTTTTTTAATGTTTTTTTTTCCCCCTTTTTTTTTCCGGGGGTCTTGACCAAATGGAAGTGAAAGAGTACCAAAAGATTGCGCGAAAAAAAGGACCCGCACAAGGAGACCCGCAGGGGGAAGAACAGGTGATATTCACTAAAAAGCGCATCCAGAGTGTTTTGTAGAATAACGAGGAAGTTGGAGCGGGGGGTGTTTTTTCTTGTTCGGTTTGTGAATTAATACGTTTTAAGCAAACATTTGCTGAAATGACGACTTCTTTTTATTTCCCCCTGTTGGTTTTAAAGGGAATCTATCACTACTGGACATCTTTGTAGGTTTTTCCCAGGAGATGAAAGCTGATCTGCAGGCATTTGATCTGCAGACTGGGGGGTTGCTTTTCCATTGTCTTACTCTCTGCTTCCTCGCGTCATAGAGCTTGTGAAGGGCCGACGTTTTTGAAATTGGGTCGGTAAATCCATGAAGCTGAGCAAACCTGGTTTGAGTCTTGGAGAGCACGGACACCCTTGAACAGGGCTCCTTAAAAGAAATTCATTTTGCAACCATTTGAAACATGGCTTTTGCCACACAAATAAAGGGACACCACCATTTACAAGGCAATGTTCAGGTGTATAATGTAAGGATCCCTGTTGAATTGCCAAATCTTGCTCCTTTGACTTGCTGGTTCTCAGCAAGGAATGAGGGAATGACTCATCCCAAGAAACACCATCCCCCGTGGTTTCCTTTAAGGAAATCGAGTTGGGGTTAGTTTTAACACCTGGAAGGGTCATTCCCCACGGTCGCACCCTGCTCCTTCGAGCAAAATGGTCGCAGGATCTCAACGGCGCCCTACTGGAGCTTGCCAATCTGCTGCACGAGTACCTGCGGGTGGACGAGCGCCTTGGATCAACGGCGAACTGGGCGCCGGAAAACGGGTGATGGCAACAAGAGAGCCCACACCCCCGCACCCCCGCACACGGTTTCGCGCGTGTGTATCTCTCTCTTTCTCTCTCTCTCTCTCTATATATATATATATATATGTGCTCATAGATACATAGATGCGCAGATACATAGATACTTCGACACGCAGATGTATGGATGGCTGTGGCTGGCTGGCTGGCTGGCTGGCTGGCTGAATCGATGGATGGAAGGATGGATGGATGGATGGATGAACGGCTGGCTGGCTGGCTGGACGGGAGGGAGGGAGGGAGGGAGGGAGGGAGGGATGGATGACACATGGGTACGTAGATACATCGATACATCGATACATAGATGCATAGGCAGGCAGGCAGGCAGGCAGACAAACAGGCAGGCAGGCAGGCAGGCAGACAGACATACATACATAGACACACATGTGACATGGGCGCCAAAGCACCAAAAGAAGATCAAAAGTACACGCTATACCAGACAACAGAGCAAACGTGCACACACACACATATATACATATATATATACATATATATATATATATACACACCAGGCATTATAAACTAAACCAGACTCAAAACCAGACCACAAACCTACACACCCAACATCTCAAACAGCCACCGGGTGCCACGCTTGGGGTTGCCCAACCAAGAAAAAAAACACCTGCGCTCGCCAAACCGCTCGCACAAGCGCTCGCGCAACCGCTCGCCGTGTCTCGCTCGTCTCGACTGTAGGGTATGGCTCAAAAAACCGGTACCAAAACGGAACCCTGGTAAGTGGAAACATGGACCAAAACCTGCGTAGCCCTAGCTCTTAAATTTTGAGCCACTGCCTGTAGGCTGGTGGAGACGTTGAAGCAGCGCTTGGGGAAGCTGCGGGACGGCGAGGCCGCCATGGTGGTGCACATCGCCTGCCTACAGTGCCTGGGCCGTGAAGGGACGCTGGCACGGGCCCAAAACGGGTGCGAAAATCGGTAGGGAAGGAGAAATGGAAGGAGCCCAGGCTTTGGTCTCCTTGAAGGAAACCAGCAATTGGATGTTTTTTTTGGTTGGTAGAGTTGGCTGCGATAAGCAGGAAATGAGAAATGGTATGACCCTCGGAGAAAAAGAACAAAAACAAAAACGAATCTTCGTGGTTTCCTTTGCGGGAACCCCTGGGTTCATTCCCACATTCCCTACTGAGCACCAGCAAGCTTGAACCCAAGATAAGGGGGCATTCCAATTCTCATTCCCTGCATCTCAGCACCAGCAAGTTTTTTTGGTGGGTTTGGCTTTGGAGCGCTTGGAGCCCTGCGTTTGTTCCCGCAAACCGCAAGTCTTTTGATTTCTGCAGAGAGGTGTCTTCTTAGCTTCTTCGGGTTGCGGTTAGTTTTCTTCATTTGCCAGTGGAATCCGTCTTAATCTCAGCGAGCGGCGCTGTTCTTCGGGGGGCCCTAAGCAAGATTTGGACCCCCAAAACCCCAAAGCCAAAGCTGGGGTCGTTACTTTGCTGGGGGTTCTCAAAGTCAGCAAGTGGGGTTGTTTCCCTTTAACCCACCACTGAACGGGGGTGACTTTGATGGTCAAAAATGAGGGCCCCCAACTTGGAACACCCCGCTCTGGCGCGCTTCACTTGGCGTCGTTTGGTCTATGCCAAGACGAGCCTGGATGGTTTCAGGTTCAGAGCGGGGATAGCAGTCGGGGGCAGCTGTTGTTTTTTGTTTTTTGTTTTTGTTTTTGCGTGTAGCAACATAGCAGTCTTTAGATATGGATGGCTGTTGGATAGTTAGGGCGACTAAAAAGGACCACCCAGTTTGCATAAGAGCTTAGGTGCTGAAGGTTCAAAAGGGGGTCCCTCTCCCCCCACGTGGTCATGTTTCAGAGCTCGTTTTGTCAGGGATTCCGAGCCATTTTCCCTTTTTGGAGCCTCCCAAAGTGGCAGTTTCAATGGACACCAATAATCGTAAAATTGCAACTTCTTACAGGGAACTCCAACGACCCCTGTTTGTTGTTTGCCTGCATTTTTGTTCTTGTGACATATCTCCCAAGTCCTCCTCCTTTCCGCGTGCGGAAAGCTTTCCGCATCCGCATCCAATCTTTGTTGCATTTCGCTTGGATGTTCGGACTTCAACTTTTTGCCAACTAATGGGTTTTCCGTATTAAAACACTAAAAGTAAAAAAAAGAAACAAAAAGAAAAAAACAACAACAACTTTTAGCCGGGCTTTTAGCAGGGGAGCAGAAAGCATCCGCATCCAAGTTCTTGCGGTCAGGTGGATTTGTCTCCTGCTGGTGCATCGCCCACAGCAGATGCTGCAGAGGAGCTGCTGGGCTCTGTTGCGAGAGGGCTCCAGGCCGAGGGGTTTCACTTGGCCATTCAAAACCGTTCGGGGATCCCATTTTGGGGTAGGTGGATTCTTTGGGATTCAGTTTCTTTTGGAAGGGATTCCAGTTTGTCTTTTGGGTTTTTCTCATTTGGCTGTGGGTCAAAACCGTTTGGGGATCCCATTTTGGGGTAGGTGGATTCTTTGGGATTCAGTTTCTTTTGGAAGGGATTCCAGTTTGTCTTTTGGGTTTTTTCTCATTTGGCTGTGGGTCAAAACCAAGGGGATCCCATTTTGGGGTTTTCGGTGAATTCACCACCTATTTGAGTGGGGATTGAATCGGAGGTTCACTCGGGGTACGATTTGGGTTTTGACCCATGGCTACTTAAAACTAGGTCCCCCAGCGATTGGTGCCCTGCCTCTCACCGTTTCCTTGGTTGGGAGGGTTCGGGACCCTACTAAAATAGACTGCAGAAAAAAGGCCCCCTTTTTCTAACCACTTAAAACTAGCAGGGATACAGGTGGAACCAGGTTGATACGGGAGGATTCCCCCTGAATGCACCTTAAGCTTGATATGGGAGATGGCGCCAAGGGAATCCCCCGATATCCCCGCTCCCTCAATATCCCCGCTTGTTCGTCTGTCCAATTGAAGGTTTGCTAGGTCCCCCAGCAATTGGTGCCCTTTCTCACCGTTTCCTTTTTGGTTGGGAGGGTTCCCCTACTAAAATAGACTACAGAAAAAGGGCTCCCTTATTCTAACCTCTCTACTGGTCGACCTAGAAAAACTACCGGGGTTGATCTAGCTATTCCATTCGGCCCCCAACTGACCATGGGTTTGTTTTTCTACATTTATATCATCATGGATAGCTTGTAGCGTTTCCTCGTTTACTGGGAAATAGTAGCTTTTCGCTTTTCCGCATTTAGTGGGACAATTCCATCTTTTGGATACTCTGATAAGAGTGTCATGAATCCACGGGTTGACCTAGCTTGTCGTCAAAGCAAAGGACGCGCCTTCGCAGATGGATGCGCTTGAGGATTCCTGTTAGCTGGAGAAAAGCAACATGGTATTACCCTCCCACCAATTAACGTGGCACCTCACAGAGGGTCCATTTAAGGAAAATGTCTTCCAGACCTCCCCTGTCAGGTTTTCTGTGAACTGGTGGGAGAGTATGCAACCAAGCCCGAAGCGCGTTTGCTTTCTGGGCACCGCAAACGTGTGCAACATGACAGCTGAGAGGTCGCTACACTTCCCTTTCTGCACTCGGGGATGCCAACAGCCAGTACACCTGGTGGGTAAGAGACATTGCTCCAAGATCAGCGCGCTAAGAAATCGTCAAAGAGCTCTTCATGCCGATCTTCGAGTCCCTGAACCATGCCAACGACGAGGCGCGCGCAATAAGCGTGGTGTGGTAGATGTGCCGCTTGTCAAGAGCCCTTGACTGTAGGAAGTGATCAGGAACCAAGCGCCAAGAACTGAAAGACTGACCTCTTAAAAACACCACTTTTCAACTTTTTGGGTAACATGGGCTAGCCGAAACTACGGGGACTGTACTCTGCGTACTAGTTTTGTACTTAAAATTTGCGATTTTGGAGAAAGAGCTGCGGGAATGTACTCCGAATACTACTTTTGAACGAAAATTTGAGATTTTGCAGCCGGTACTCCGAGTACTACTTTTGTACTTAAAATTTGCGCTTTTGCAGCTGGAGCTGCGGGAATGTACTCCGCGTACTACTTTTGTACTTAAAATTTGCGACTTTCAGCTGGAGCTGCGGGAATGTACTCCGCGTACTACTTTTCTACTTAGAATTCTCGATTTTGCAGCCAGAGCTGCCGCGGACCAGGCGGGGATCGAACCCGCGACCGCGCGACTCGGAGAGCAGCCGCGCAAACCACGAGACAATTGCCAAAGACCGATTCGCAAACAAAAAACATGTCTGTAAAAGGTTAGCTTCCCCAGGGCTTGGGGGTAAGAACAACAAGACTTGCCTCGATGCCTCGCGATGCCTCGGCGATGCCTCGGCGAGGTGGTGATCGCCTCCCTGCGCGTCTTGGCGCAGCTCATGGAGACCACGCCCTCCGACCAGCTGGGCATCGAGGAGTTTCGGGGAGAATGAAATGGGGGCCTCTGAAAGGCGGTTGTGGTGGGCGGTTCGGATGTTCGGAGGGCTTGGTTAATTTTGAAAAAAACGCCGGTGGGAAGAAGAAGAAGAAGAAGAAGAAGAAGAAGAAGAAGAAGAAGATGGTGGTGTTTGAGGGAGTCAGCTAAGGGGAGAAGTCTGGGTGAGCTGTAAACGGATATGATGAAATCGAATATGGGAATCTCAGACAGGCATTCGCGAGCTGGGCACAGGTGGTTCTTAAGCCGGCTGAATGGGATATCACCCTGACGTCGAAAGGAGGCACTTGAGAAGCGGACGACATGACTGGTACTGGTACCATGCAAGCTCCAAGGACCCCTTTAAGAGACTTGGTTCCATTCTAGGAGCTTCCATGTTAGTCTGAGGGAGCCTAGGCCATGCTTTCTTTGCGTGTTCTTATTATTTTTTTTGGGCACAAAAGGGGGGGTGATTTCCCAAGTCAACTGCGAGGCTATGAATTATATATATATATATATATATATATGGGTGTGGCTCAAAATTAAACAGTAGGGGTTACGCAGGTTTTGGTCCATGTTTCCACTCCATTTGGTACCAGTTTTTTGAGCCACAGCCATATATATATATATATATATATATCACATTTGCTCACGGCGGAGTTTCGAGCAGTGGGGCCGTGAAGCACAACTTGCCCTGCGGTCTTGGGCAATTCCAACCTGCATTTTGCGGGTTTGGCAAGCTTTTTTTTGGATGTCCAATTTGCAGCAGATGGCCAAGGGTGGTACAAACATTTGGGCATGTCTTCTTTGGAGGGTACCCAGATTGTGGTTGGGTTGCAAGGAAACCAAAAGGAAGACCGAAACATGCCGACACCATTTCGGGGGTCCAACCTAACAACAGCCACCGATTTAAGCCCGGGGTGTTTCGGGTTGGGCGTGGACCCACGCAAAAGCCGGGGGTTTCGAAGAGGACTTGCTCGCCAAGGAGAGCGTGAGGCAGCCGGAAAGCCAGTCGGAGTGGGGGAGCGAAATTCGCTGAAACAGGGCTGGGTTTGGGTTGCCAGCATGTGACGCCGTGTTTCCAATAAGCAAGAGGCAGGTTTGAAAAAAATATATGTTTGGTCCGACTCATCTTGATTGAATTGCATGGTATTGGTCCACAGTTCTAGGGGTTGATTCCCCATTCTTTTCAACCATCGTTCTTTTCGAAAGCCAGCTGTTTCCCATGGTTTTTTTCGTGGTTTTCTAGAAAGATCCGGATCCCTGGGTTATTCGAATGGAATTGGAAGCTAGCAGTAGAACAGTGTTCCATGGTTTGGGTCCATCTCATCTTCCTGCACGGTGGGGGGGGGCGACTTCTGGCCGGGGGCGACTTCCTGCCACTGGCCACGATCCCCACCGCTTAAAAAGCCTCGCTGGTTGGGAGGCGTTCTGGAGCTGGGAGTATCCGCGAGTTTTTTTGCTTCAGAGGTTTGTGAGGACATGGTGGCTCATGTGAGGTCGAGCAAGTGTTTCTTTTTTGTTTTTCCAAAAACCACCATTTGGTTGGTTTTCAGGGAAAACCACAAAGAGAACCAAAAAACAACGTCTTTTTTTTTTTTGGGGGGGGGTTTCTGTAAAGAAGCTCACGCCTGCTATGCTCGATTGGACTTGGAAATTCCATCCGAAGCTGGGATGCTCGCAGGCGAGCGGATGGTGCCCGGCTCAGCGTGCTGCCTTATGCCGCGTCCGAGTGATGGGTTGAGGGACGATGGCGTTGCCAAGGCTTTGGTGCATGTTTGAAGGCCCTAAATCAATCGGGAGCCTCTGGGATGTTAGGACTGAACAACTTTTTGCCAACGAATGGGTTCTCCGTATTAACACCACTAAAAGTTATTCACTTTTGGCAGGGGTTTGCAGAAAGCAACAGAGAATGCACATGCGAAATGGATGTCTCCATGTAACGACACCCTCATGGAAGTACCCAAAAGTGACAGTCAGGGAAGGAGGTAGTGAAAGAGGGAAGCAGGGCAGATTTGCCACATCCCGGAATTATACGGAGAAACTTCGCCTATTTTTTGGGGTCTAGATTCTAAAGTTTGTTCTGCTGTGGGTGCTCGTTTGTCGTTTTGGCTTGTGTGATGAGCTCTGATTTTGCTATGTTGCACCGGGCATGCCCTTTACTTGGCGGCGTTTGCCCAGTTGCGTTTGAGCACGCGCTGGCTCGTGCGGTTTCATTTGCTCGCTAGTTTCTGACAGCTCACAGGCAACTCTTCAGACGCCCTGGCAGAGCACAACTGTGCCAAGAGACGCCCTGGCAAGAGCACCTGGTTGCAACTGTTAAAGGGTGTTCAGGACTCGGCTTGGTCGAGACAGAAGCTGTCCGAGGAAGTTTGGCGACCAGGCTTCTGGGTTCTGCCAAGTGTTGGAAGTTAGATGCATCCACAAAAAAAGCTTGATTGAGTACTGGTCAAAAGCCTCGAACTGGGGCGAGCACCAGGCGGCTCATTCATCTGCCCCGTAGATCAGCGACACCTTAGCCAGCCAGCAAGGTTCCTCAGTTGTTCAGTGGCTCCCTTTTTCCCATTTTTTTTGGTGGCTGCCCCACTAAAATTGTCCAAGCCCAAAAACGGGTTCCTTTTTTCCAGGGTCACTGAACAACTGAGGTAGGTTCAGCTTGGCTTTTGAGCCAGCACGAAAAAAAAACAACTGTTCGAGGGTTTGGTTTGCGCCTGCAGGTGCCAAGGAGGAGCCGCAGAAGTCGCTGTTCACCTTCATTGTTGATAGGCGCGGGTTCTCCGCGTCTTCTTCCGTTTGCTTAAGAGCATTTTTTTTAAATACGCATTTCCACCGCGTTTCCCCTTGTTGGCCAGAAAAGGAACATTTATCACCACTGGACATACGGTGGCTTTGCGCATTCGAAAAAACATCGATCACCACCGGACATGACCACTGGACATTATGTTGCTCATTTTTCGTGGGGGCCGAAAACGCAAACGCACATGGAAGTCTTGGTGACGCAGACGCGAGCCTCGCGCATTCGCGCCACTCGGATCGAGCGATCGTCGAGCCTCGCGGCCCAGAGGCAACCCAAGTCTTTGACCGTCTAGACCGCTTTTGTGTGTACAAAGACAGGGTCTCGGAGCCATTTCCCTTTTGGGAACCAGGGTTTGTGTGTTTCCGGGGGGCCATGGCCCTTTAAAGGGAACCTCCAAGAGTGGCAATATGTGGCAGTTTCAAGGAACGCTGTTCTTTCTTTGCGGCTTGCCAAGTGCACTGAGGGCGCGGCGCTTTGGGGGGGGGGGGTGAAAACCAAGTCCAAAATCGGACTCAAAAGCAAAAAGGTTCGGCCCCAAAAGCAAAACAACATTACTGTGCGTTGTGCGTGCTGTCTTGCAGGGCCTGCTCCCAGGCAAGGTCACGACCTTGCTCGTCAGCCTCGATACACGGATTCCTGTCAGGATGCAACGATGCTAGGAAGTCAAGATCCTCAGGCTGCAAGCTTCCTTCACTGCTGCAATCCAAAGAGGCTGTGAGCCTTGCGCATCTGGCAATGATGGCTTCTGAGATAGCAAAATCGAGAAATCCTGGGTGCCTGACAAAAACGCTTGCAGCAGAACGGCTCTCAAGAGGGTCAACAAGCAATCTCTGCACGGCCTCTGAAGCAAACATTGACAGGGCTGCCCAAATTGTCAATGATCTGCTCAAAGCCGTAATGCATAAAAAGAGCTTGTGCTGTTGCTTGACCTTCAAACCAGTCTTGTGTGATCTCTGCAAGCCCGACTCCTGGCAATGTCAGAAGAAACCTAACAAGCGGCAGCCGCCACATAGACGGGGCCCAGGTGCAATCTGGAGCTTTGGGGTGCGCAAGCAAACAACTAACATCCTGCGCATAGCACGCTAGCATAACTTCAAGCATGAACTGCAGCAAGAAAGAGTCCTTGCAAACCCTAAGGCTTTGTTTCCACGAGAGAGACACAAAACCCCATGGATCTTGGGAGGAGCGCATTGGCCTTGCCGGGCTTTGGGCTTCCTCGTCAAGCCTGTGGCCGACGCCATCAGAAGACCAAGTTTGGGCAGAGGGTTCAGCGATTGCTGCAAGAAAAGCCTGCCGCTTGATCAAAGCAAGGAGAGCAAAGCATTTCTGCCTGTCGAGCACAAGCGTCTCAACATCAATGGAAATGCAGGTGACGGGGCGCTGTCCAGCGTCAGCAAGCTTTGTAAGCAACACATGCATGTTAGTCACTTTGCTGCAACCCGAAAACAAGTGAAGCACAAACTTTGGTGAAGCAGGCTGAATGGCGAGCCGTTGCAAGCTTAGGAAAGCGAGGTCAGTCACGCAAACATTGCTCTCACACCGCGCGGCCTGCCACGCGTGCTTGCTGGAATGGCAAACCTCGTCTTCGGCAAGGAGCACCCACGTGGCTGCTGAGAGAACTCGCTCACAGAAACAAATGTCATGCGTGGTCGCAAGCTGGTCCAGGGCTGCAAGCGTATGGGCTGGCAGCGCTTTCTGCGCAGCCGGCGTGCTGCCACTGTGCGCCCGCAAGGCGGCTATGGCTTGAGGAACAAATCCAACAAACGGCTTGCCAATAGGAGGCTCATTAGGCAAAAACTGCTTGAGCCTACAAACTAATTTTTCAATTGGGTCAGGCAAACTGCCGGGCACATCAAAAAGGCTGGCAACGGGCTTCAGTGTGGCCCACCAAGGAGATGGCCCTGCAAGTTTGATGACAGGCTTGAAAGCAAACCAACCTGTGGACACATCCTCCTGCAGCTCTGGAAACGCTACCTCAGATTCGCGCAGCCGAACGAGGCAGTCTTGAGTCTTTCGTAAGTGTTCCCGTAGCCTGTTTGTGCTGTGGTATTCCTTGAGACACACCAAGCACGATGTGCCTCTGGCATAACCATACACTTCGCTCATTGCCTTGTGCTGCTTGTGCTTGTGCACTGACAATTTTGCTGCTGTGTTGAAAATCTTCCCACACAAACTGCATTGGACATCTGCATCAGTCGTTGCTTCAGAAGCCGCTGCTCTGCTGGCATGTAAGATGACGCTGCCAGCTGCGAGAAAACCGTCCTGCATCCTGCTTTCCCACTGCCCGGCATGGCTTAGACGTCCCCTATGCCTTTGAAGGTGCGCAATCACACGGCGTAAGAAAGTCTTCCATGCGTGGGGATGCTCACGAATCTGCTGATCTACTGCGCCCCAATCATTCTGGGCGAGGCTACTGCGCAGGCCGTTGAAAGGAAGAGTCCGGACTGCCCACTGAACATCACGTTTGATTTGCGCAAGCCAGGATTGCTCTTGCCTGAGTAGGGCCCAGAGCAGGCTGGGCCCAAACTGCAGTATGACGCCGTAGTGGCGCAGGCGTTCTATGCTCAGCATTTCACCAGGCCAAAGCGTCTGCAAGTCGTTCACAACTGTGTCATCACTGGTAGCATGCAGGCGAAAGCGGTGAGTTCGTCTGTGGACTTTTCGGAGAAGCAGCATGCATGCGCCATGGAAAGCTTGGCGTTCTTGCTGCGTCTGGAAAGTCCAGACGGCGGCATGGTGCAGAAGCCGTGACTGGATCAATTGCACAAAGACCTGCCGCTTGCTTCGCAAAGGCAGAGATGGATTGCTAAACACATGTGAAAGGAGCGGCGCAAGCGCCTGCGAGGCCTGCGAGGCACGAGATTTGATCTCTGGCAACACAGTGTCTTTGGCAACAACGCACCCACCAAGGTGCCGGTATTGCTCAGTGATATGCACTTGCAACTGCTGGCCCTTGAAGCTTTCGAAGTCGAGCCACGCATTGCACTGCACCAAAAGCTGCCTCCGCAGGGCAGCAGTGCCTTTACCTCGTAACTGCAAGACCACTTCTGTTTTGCCACTCTGCAGGTTGAGTTCAACCCCTAATCGCTGGATGCGCTTGTGAACGATGCGCGCTGCTTCCTGCAGAGCTGTCACAAGTCTATGTGGGTCACTGTCAACAAACATGAATGTGACATCGTCTGCCCAGGCAGGGGCTCCGTATGGCACACCTTGCAGTTCGTCGCAGCATGAGCCTAAATCAGCAAGCCCGACAACACCATCCCATGGAACCCTGGGCCGGATGCCACTTGCGGCAAGGTCAGCATTTACATCCCTTAGGAATAAAGCAAAGGCGTAAGCCCAAACCAAATCTGCAAGGGGGTCGCCGGGCCTGGACCCGGTAGCAGTTTGCACGACTTGCGTGTTTTCAACAGTAAGTGTAAACCACGTACTGTTATGCAACGCCTGCACAACCTGCCGCAGGTGCTCAGGAACACTTGCAAGCGTAAACGCAGATGGCTCGCAGAACAGCTCAGCCAAGTGCCGCGCTGCTTCCTCATCGTCTGTAAGACGGCGGGCAACAGCCAGCAGTTGCCCTGGGTCTATGCTGTCTGCCCAAAGAACTTCTCTGAACAAAGTGTGGAAAGCCTGCTTTGCGTCGCAAAACAATGCACCCGCGCTGCATCCGTTCTGGGCGGCAAGGCTGAAATGCTGCCTCACGATGTGCGCTGCAACGGCGGTCGGCCTCCCTGACCGCGCGCCGAACTGCAGAGGGTCGGCAATGGTCTCGAAGGCTGGCAAAAGCATTTGCCTAGTTGTCCGATGCACTGCCTTGGCGACAGGCTCTGCTATGCAGATGGGTCTCCACTTTTCAACCTGATCACTTGTGGATGTTGCTTTGGGAATGGGTCGCACAAGTGACCCTTTCCACTGAAGCGGCTCATCGAAACGCAAGAAAACCTTGAGGACAAGAGCGTGCAACTTGGTCGCTGCGACGCTGGCACAGTTTCGCCAAAAGTCAGCGGGCACTCCTGAGATGCCAGCTGCTTTGCCTGTCTTGAGTTGGAGCAGAGCCCTTTCGAACTGCGCACAAGAAGGCACAGTGCTTCCATCAACATGCAGCTCAGCTGCAAGCCAGCGCTGAAAGGCTGCGTGCTGTTGTTCGGAATGGTCTGCCCTCAAGGAACTTAGCGTGACCGTTTTGCCTCTTTCTGCTTTGCAAAAATGCTGTGTCCATTCTTCCTCAGCTTCCCTTCTCGTAACTGCACATGTGCCATCACTCCGCCTGAGCGCGGGCACGATGAATGCTTGCTTGCGTCTTTTGGAATGTGTGAGAGGCCGCAGCTGCCGAAGCAGGCTCCCACCACCTTGTTGCTGGGAGCTCGCAATCATGGCCTGCACAAAACTTGCTTTATCTATTCGGGCTTGCTTGCGGAAAAGGCGAGTCAAGAGAATCAAGTTTCGCACTTCAAAGGCAACTGTGAAGTTGTGGGTCTTGCGCCACGCGTGCCAAGTAGGGAACACTGAGCAGCCTTGGGCGCGCCAATGTCTCCATGCAAGAAAGCACGCACGCATCGCCTGCCGGCTGGCGTGCAAAACGCGTAGGCGCATCGCAGCTTTCAGCTCCCGCCTTTGCTGCACAATGCTCCAGGCCGCGCTACTCAAGTACTTCTGTTTGGCAACCTGCTTCTTGGCGGGGAAGGCTACCTTGAGTTGCTCCCACACGTAATGGTCAACGATGGCACAATGGTCTGTGGCGGGCAAGGTCCAAGCAGGCTCTGGAATACTTGCCGCAATGTGCTCGCAAACCTGCCTTCCTTGCAACGAGTTGAGCGCCTCAAGGTCGAAGCTTGTGCGCCTGGCAGACGTTCGCTCTTGCTGCGCAATTTTGCAGAAAGACACATCGACTTCAAGCTGTATTGGCTTGTGGTCCTCTACTGGCAGAAGATTGTCAATCTCAAGAACGGTCGTTTCACCAAGGCCGTGCCTCCAGGCCTGGGGCACACACACAAAGTCAATGCAATGTCCTGATTCTGCGTTGTGCTCCGCAAGGCTGTTGCCACAAAAACTGCGAATGCGCTCCCCATTTGCCTGCGTGCTAGCTGACAAGCAAAGGTCATGCCCTTCACAGAAATGCAACAAGTGCGCGACATTGCTGCCTGCGCTGGCAGACGCTTGATAGCTCTCGTCGCGATGGTCCCTTGCGTTGGCATCGAGTAGCGCAATGATGACTGCTCGCTTGGGCAGCTTGGCAATGGCTCGTTGGAGCTCATGCTTCCACCACCTCTGAGCTTGCCCGGCATCCCAAGGGGCGTGAGCTGACACTATTGCAAAAAGCAACCCCTTCACTTCACAAGTGACAACCAAGATCCGAGGGTCGGCGTGAACCAAGCAGAGATTGCGCCAACACCACCCGTGCCAGACACCGTCAACGAGCAAAAACTTCTCCTGCGCGCTGAACCAAAGCTCAACACCATAGTTGCCCTTTTCATCGCTGGGTGTGGCAACCCTGTGGAAAGCGCAGGATGCGCTTGCTTCCGCTTGCACAATCTCATGGGCTCGGCCCTCCTGAATGCCTACCACGATGGGCCGGGTTGCTGCTAACTGCCCCTGCAAAACCTCTAGCTTTCCTGCCTGCCGTAAGGTCATGCAATTGTATGTGACTAGGCGCCCTTGCCAGCGGTAATCGACTGGCTTGCGTTCAATGTCCTTGCCTGAGTTGAGGGCAGGATGCCAGCTGTAGGGAGCTGTTCCACTGTCATCAACGGAGTCTGCTGCAAGGAAAAGGCCTTCGAAAACTCTCGGGAGGCTCCGATGCGGATTCTGCATTTGTTGCTCTGTCCACAGCCACTCTGCCCCCTCGAGGCATGGCAAGTCTTGCACCTGCGCTAAGTTAACCGTGCAAAAGGCCCCTACGCGCGCCCGTTTGGAAAGATCATCTGCGAGCTCATTCCAAGGGTGGAGGCTGTGTGCCTTTATGTGCCTGAAAGTAACTGCGCGTTGCGCCTGCAAGCACTGAGCCAAAGCACGTACTTGGCGCGCCAACTTGACAGTAGCTTGTGGGCAAGCCTGCCCTGCAACCACGCTGCCTGCGCTGGCATTATCAAAATGCAACTCAACAGCACAGCCATGCGGCACAGTAAGAGCCGCTGTGACAGCAACCCCCAACGCAATTAGCTCTGCTGCGTAAGCGCTTGGCTCTCCTGGGCTGGCCCTGAAAGGCACTACTGAACTGCCAGCTGCACCGACAAGACAAAACTTGCTCTTGGTTTGCGCCGGGGAGACACTTTGGCGAGTACCTATGGCGACAACAGCCCACGCCATTGGCGGCGTGGCGTTGTCCTCTTCTGACTGTTTGTAACTTCCATCCGTAAAAAAGCTCACGTTGCTCAAGGGTTCCCCTTCCCACAAAGAAACTTGTTGCAACATCAAGTTCACTATGGGCGGGGCTGCTGCTGACACAACGAAATGCTGAACAAACTGATCCAGGCCAAGCACCTTAGTGAAAGACTGCATCTTCTGCAGATCACCTGGGGGCTCAAACACGGAGAACTCAGTCTGTGGGACATCCTCTGCGCTGTGCAGCGCATCCGCATCACTGGCAACGTGCGTGCCGTGCTGTGTGTGTAAATGCACTGTTGGTGTTTCGGGGCCCAAACGATTATCAACCGGGGGGGCCGAACCTTCAAGGAGGGAATGCTCTAGCTTACAATCACCACCACGCGATTGCGACTTGTGAGCAACCACTCTAGGAACTGCAGATCCTGTACAAAACTGCAAAGCTCTCAGTTGGACCTTCATGTGCTTGATCTCTTCAGCTGGTCTGGCTGTGTCGAAAAACCCCCAAACGGCACAGTCACTGAAGCTGACCTTGCACGGCCCACTTTCTACCCCTCTTCCTTCTTCACACCGTCCTCCTGAAAACCCGGCTCCTTGGCGGCCAGCTTGGCCCTTTTGGCTTCTCTCTTCCTCTGGTTCCGGTTTTTCTTGACCTCGTCCCAATCCTGCGACTGCTCCTCGTCTGCCGGAACCACTGCAAGCTCCTGGGCCAAGTCGTCCTCCAAGACATTCGCTGAGCCGTTGGACCTGGAATCCATTGGCCTTTTGCCGGCTACAGGGTCCACGGCCATGTCGTCCTCGTCGTCCGAAATCACCTGCTCCGCGGGCAGGCCCAACACCGGGATGTCCATCCGGGGGGGCTTGGCAGATTCGGTGTTCAGACTCTGTTTGAAGGCTTCCATGAGCTTCTCCGACATGTGGCTTCCGACATCGGCATCTTCCTTTGGCTCGCCCTCGACCATGGACTGCTGCTTTAAAGCCTCTTGCATGTCGCGCTGGGCATTCTTCACCCGCTGCTGCGCCTCTTGGACATGGTGCTGAAGCTTGGTCACAGTCTCTTGGTACTCGGTCTTCTTCTGGGCAAACTCGCCCATAAGCTGCTGCACATAGGACTGCCACTCTTGCTGCGTCTTGTCCAGCGTCGAGGTCATCTTGGCTAAGCGCTTCTGCGCCTTGGCCAGGCTGTTGGCATGCCCATGGATCTGAACTGCCAGGGGCCTGATCTGCAGTGTCCGGTTCAAAAGCAGCTGGACTTCCTCGGGTAGGGGCACCTTCGCTTTGAGGCAACTCTCCTGAATGCTTTTGGCGAACTCTGTGATCTCCTTGGCCTCCTTTGGCAAAAGTGGCTCTTGCTTCCCATTCTCTGCTCCAGGCTCTGTGGTTGACAACAGGGGTGTCCCAGCATGCGGGGTGCCCATGTAGAAGGTCTGTGGCTCCGAGGGGCTTGCTGCTGTTGCTGCTGCTGCTGCTGCTGGCACCTGGGGCTTCACCACACCATCCGCTGGCGACGAGAAGCAAGCTGGCAAGGACGACACCGACCGTGCTTCGGGGGGCAACTGAAAAGTCGGAGCTTTGTCTTTGCCTTTGCCGGATCCTTTGGCCTTTCCTTTGTCTGGCTCTCCACGGCGCTGTCGGGACAGGCTGCGGTTCTCGCGTGGGTGGGCATGCCAGGTTGCAGCATTGGTCCACCCATAGCCGCACTTGCTGCAAAAATTGGCACTGTTTGGGCAGCGCCATCCACATTGGCAGTACCATTGCCCACTCCTCATTGGTGCTCGAAAGCTGTGATGCCGCACCAAACGTACCACCTGCCGCTGCTTCAGCGCCCAATTGATGCAGAAAGCAAGGCCTCCTGCTTGCCTGACTCTTTGCCTTGCCAAGTGGCGTGCCCGTCGGGCTCGCCGATGCCAGGCTTCCTCTATGGCTCAGACGGAAAAGGCTATTCGTGCAAAAGCACTGGGGCCACTAACAGCCTACTGTTAGGCTTGCTTGACCCTAGGAACGCTGTTGGGAAATGGGAAATCCAGTGAGCGCTAAAAGACAGATGCCACTTTTTTTTTGTGGGTGTGCAGGTCATACCGAAGAGGCATTGATGTTGCGGAAATAGTGGGCGACATCACCGAGACAACCACCGAGCAATATTTGATGGTAACTTTTGGCATTCGATGTCCGGCGATTACTCGCCTGCGGATTCGGATGGAACACGCTCAAAATACAGTGGTCCCCCAGAAGGAGATTCCACTAAACATGAAGCTTTGGGTTCCATGTGCAGAGTAAGCACTCAGCTTTCATATGTCAGCGTCTTCCGCTCGCTCGGAGGCTGCTCGAAGAGTTGGAGAAGCAACGGGACATGTGGGAAGCTCGGACCTCCGCAGATTCGCTTCACGTCTGCAGCGTTTCCTGCAATTGGTGGTTTGGAGCCAGGTTTGGATGAAGAGGTTTGCCCATTTATCCTCTACGGGTTCAAAGTTTTTCGCACCAATCCAAACCACCATTTCGGAGCCCGGTTTTGGTTACAGGCTAGTTTGCCCATGTACCCTGTACTGCCCATCTACCCTCGAAAAGGGCTAAACAAATCTCAATCATTTCAGTCCCTTTACGAGTTCAAACCCATTCAATCCAATCCAGTTTGCCCGTCTACCCTTTACGGCCTACACAAATCTCAAAAAATGTCAGTCCAATCCCAAGCTGACGCGCTCTACGGGTCATCAGTTCAAACCCATCCTCCGCTCGAGCACGGCTGAGGTTGGAGACGCGGGGCCGGCTGATGATCCATCAGCTTTGCGGGCATCTGGACCCCAGGAGGCCAGCCTAGGGCTCACATCCCGCGCTTTCTTGGGTTTGCTTCTTCTTTTTGTTTGTTGGGGGGGAGGGGGGGGGGGGCAGGAGTTGTTTTTCTTTTTTTCCTCTTGTGTATATATATATATATATATTTCCCGGGGGGGGAGGTCTTTTTTTTTTTTGGGGGGGGAGGTCTTTTTTTTGGGTTTGGGAGGGGGGAGGTTCCATCCATAGCTTGGTGGTCGCGCATCGTCCATGCCCTTGCGAGTTTTAGTTGTTTTAGTTGGTTTCGTGTTGGGGTGTCCGAACTTGACCCACAACTTGGTCACTTTTGGCAGGGGATCTGAGGACAGACCAGATAGGCAGAGCAGCGGCGCCGCGAATGCTCCGAGTGCCATACTTTTAGCGCCAGGAAAACACCCACCCTGAACTGAAGCTAGCTGGTTTCAAGCTTCCTTTTTGCTGAACTGGTTTCAATTGGCTTCGGTTGTCCTTTTGGCAACCTGAAAAGGGCTCCCTGGAGATAAACACAGCCCCATGGAGAAAAGCTAGATGTCGTTCATGCGGTCGCCGTGCATTGAATACCCCCCCCCCCCTGCACGGAAATTGCAAATCTCATATTGGGACAGCTACATACTAATCGACAGGGTCCTTGGGTTTTGAGCTGTTTTGACTTTGGTCCTCGTCTATGGGGGCTTCTACCTTTGCAAAGCACAACACCAATCAAGAAATGGCAGGGCTTAACACAAAGAGTGTGGATACAAGCGCATGCCTGTGGTTTTTCATTTGTGCAATTTAGCATTTCAGCTTTTAATTTTACATTTACGTGGTGCAACCTCATTTCGATTTTGATTTTACGACAACATTATATATATATATATATCATATACACACACATACAAGCAACATGTGTTTTGGATCTCTAGTGAGAAGGGCCACGGTGGACGAGATCCCCGAGAACCGGTGCACGTAGTTAAAAACCCCCCCAACACCTCCCGAAACCCCCCCGAAACCCCCCCGAACCCCCTCCTCCCCCCGAAACCCCCCGCACCCCCCGAACACCCGCCCGGAAACCCTCCCCCCCGCCCCCCCCCCCCCCCCCCCCGCAAACTGCTCGCCCAGACCCCCCCCTTTCCGGAAACCTTTCGGGAAACCCGGAACTCCCCCCCGCCGCAAAACCCCCCCTTTTCCAGAAACCTCCTTCAGAAACCCCTCCGAAACCCGCCCCCCGGAAAGATAGATTTCCTCTTGTAGGGACCCCCTGTCAGGTGCCATGTTAGTGGGAGTAAGGGTATCCATGTAACATGAACACCTCTATATATATATATATATAAAAACCATGAAATAATCTCTGTATGTTTGACTCTGAAAACTTACAAAAATTCTCAGCGTTTGGGGGGCTGGGGGGGGGGGGGGGTTGGGCGGGGGGAGTTTGGGGGAGTTGGGAGTTTCTAGCTCGCAGTTCCCGAAGCGGACCCTGAAGAAAGAAGAGTCTCGGTCCACTGGAAACAGGACACACGCATCACCCCATGTGCCTGTGGGTCAAAAACATGCACCAAAATGGCACCCTGGTAAATGGAAACAAAGACTAACACCTGCGTAACCCTAGCTCTTTAATTTTGAGCCACACACATTTCTGCTTCCCCTCGCTGCAGGCTCTTTGTCACCGTCGCCCGCGCCATTCCGGTGCGCTCCGTTCTGGGTCACTGGGTGGGTTGGCTGGGTCTGGGTCGTTCCTGGTCATCATGTGATGGCTAGGGGTTGGAAAATCAGATGCTGGAAAGGCTTGAAGACTGAGCCCCACTCGCATGTGGGTTTGTGGATTCTGCCATGAATGCCTTGATCTGATTGATTTCAGCTTCCAGCTGCCACAACTCCTAGCGAGGTTTGTATGCACCACCATAGTAGAACATATCATTACCCCACCAGCCACTTGCCAGCGGTTTGCTGCAGGTTTGATGACGACTCCTTTCCTTTTGTTGCGCCCCGTCAACAAAAGATGTCCCCGTTAAAAATGGCATCTTTTTTGACGTGGCTTCCCTTCCACCCCTGAACATGTTTTTGCTTTTAGGTGGTTTCCCTTCCATCCCCAAAAAGCGCGTTGCAAGCCAAGGGGGCAAATCTTTCTGGTATGTGGCCAACGTTGGGAAAGGCTCAGAAACCCACCAGAACTCCGGAAAGCTCAGTGATGCGTACGGACATGGCTGTGGGTCAAAACCAATGGTAACCCATTTTAGAACCTATTTTAGCGGGGATTGGCATGTTCACTGGGGGTACGATTTGGATGTTGACCATGGCCAGGTCGTTTCCCTAATGTTGACCCAGGATTAATAAACCCGTCCCATTATTAGGGGGGTGTTCCCTCCAAAAGTGGTCTGAATCCCCACTAAAAGGGGACACCCCCCAATCCAAATCAACCAGGGTTCTACTTACATCCGGGGTTAACATTGCTGCGATTGTTTTCCGCTCGCAGCGAAGGCCCAGGAGAAGAACTTTGCGCAGAAGCTGGCAAGGGCCTTGGCACCTCTCACGGGTGGTGTGGGGGTCGCGGGTCGCGGGTCGTGGGCGTCCTGTTCTGGTGGCGGGGGAGTCGAGCTGAGCCATTCCGGAGCTGGGGGGATCCGAGCTGGGGGGGGTGTTCTCAAAGTGATGAATCCCCACTAAACCCAGGGATGCACCCCTATGAAGCAGCAGGGGTTGATGAAAATATGAGGGAGCCTTTCGGTTTCTTGCAGGAGGTCTGTGAGGACATGGTAGCATATTTGCCAGCTTGGTTCGAAAAGAGACGGGTTCCACTGGTTCGAGTTTGGTTCTAAGCACCATCATCTTCTTGTTCCAAAGGACACCTATGGGGTTGTTAAAGTATCAGTCACTGGTTTCCCGATTTCTTGAGCCCGGCAAACAACATGTGGGCAGGATTGGTAAACGTACAGAAAAGCTCGCGAAGGAACCCAGATTTGGGTGTGTATTTTTTGGATGGTGCGCCTTGCTGGTGGCCATTTTGAAAGCAATGTTAAGGGACAATTTTTTTCAGGTCCTCCACGTGGGTGCGTTTCCAAATCGAACCGCCAAAAGGACAGGCACCCCCCAAAGAAAAGGGGACCTGGGTATGTCTTCAGATGGGTATGACACTTAGCTGGCTGGACACGTAAGCGAACATCATTAACGCCTTGGATGATGTCCTTCATTTGTCATAGCCCAAATTAGGTAAGTCGACATGTGTTTTTTCGCCAACAGCTGAAAGCTTTGGGGTCTCAGCCCGGGGTGGTCCGGGGTGGTCGGGGCGGCCCTGAGGTAAGGTCCCACGAACCCTGGTGGAACGAGGGTTCCACCAGGGTTCCACCAGGGTTCCACCAACGTTCCACCAGGGTTCCACCAGGGTTCCACCAGGGTTCCACCGGGTTCCACCAGGGTTCCACGAGGTTCTGCGGGGTGGTGCGAGCACTAAAAAGAGCACGGCATGCTGTTGGGGATATCACCTGAGCTTATTCCTTTGCAGGAGGCGTTTTAAAGGGACTCAGGGTTTGGTGACCGTTCTAGGATTCTCGCATGTGGTGAAATGGACGCACCATGGCCTGCCAAATGGGGTATGTAAAATGCATGGACTGGGATCTGCAACAGTGCTTTGCAGGCCCTGCGGTGATGATCCTGCACAGGATGTTCTCTTCTCTGATTTCTTTCGCCCGCCAAGTTCAAGGTTTCAGCACAGTGGTTTGGGGAGTTACTCGGGTGATGAAGGAACAGTTAGGCAGAACAGTACGGGAGTTTCAACACGCATGCTGCTATTGCCCTCCCGGCTACCAGGTGGGTGGATGAGCTGAGTTGTTAATGCTGACTCAGTCCTGTCTCACAAAGAAGTCGATCGTCGTATTCGTGTACTAGGGATTGTTTGGTTTCGAGACGTGTCAAAAGAATGAAAGAGATGGTGAACCATTCGTCAACATGTTGTCGGTTTCTCCCTTTGTTGGTCCCATCAAGGTGCTGCTAGAATTCTCCGCGACCAGATAAGCGGCGAGGCCTGATCAACGCCTTACTTGTAGCAGATGAGTCTGTTTGGGCCTTTGGGGGACTCCTTTGGATTCAGTATTAATTTTCAGGGTAGCTGTTTACCAGGTATGTGTTTCAACAGCAGAAGCGGTGGCTCAAAACACCAGGTTTCATTCCGTTGATCCCCACACCCTGGAGAATGGGCGAGTTCAAAGCAGGGCGCCCCTAAACTGGTTTCTGTGTGGTTTGTCCGTAAAACCCATCCAAATGGGCGTCCCTGTGTTTGGACACCCCCCAGATGTTTAAGGTGGGGGGGGGGGAGGGGGAGGAGGGGCATGCCTTGACCGAGGTCCAGACATTTAACTGGATCCTCCTGACTTCTGCCCGGGCCAAAGCTTGCACTAGACCTCTCCTTCCGACCGAGGTCGGGAGTCAGTTGGGAAAGGGATGCTCTTTCAAACCACCAATGCCTTAGACCGGGAACGTGGCCTCCTTTGTTTTTGGGAAATGTCCAGGTGGCTGTGGGTCAAAACCAATGGTACCATTTTGGGGTAGGTGAATTCACCACCCATTCTAGAACCTGTTTTAGTAAAGATTGAAATGTTCACTGGGGGATAACCGATTGGGATTTTGACCCATGTCCAGGGCTTGGTTTGTCGGAAGGGGCTCTCTCCCCTTCCGGGTCCAGCAACTCGGCGGTATCCCAGTGGCGCTGACCTTTTGCGCCCAAATCAAAGGGCGCAGATGGAACAATTTCTCGGCGAAGTGGGCGGTTTGCGCTTCGAGCTGCAGGAGGGGTTCCGGTTTTTGTTGTTGTTTTTTTTCCTGACGGGCTAGGTTGGGTCACCAGTTGGGTATGGGTCAAACTTAAACCATTAGGGGACCACAGGTTTTAGTCAATGTTTTCACTTAGCGGGGTTCAATCTTGTGTACCTATTTTGGACCCACAGCCATTTTTTGCCTACACTACACCTTCCAGGCCCTTTTCGCCCCGTGGTTGTTAGTGTTCACGGATGATCATCCATCAATCAAATAGAAGATGCTCGTGCATGCCACAAGAAGGGCTGTTCTCGCTTGATGAGGGGTGTAATACTGGGACCTTGGATCTCTTCCTGTTTTCTCCAAGGTGCGACCTACTCGGATTGTTATAAAGGCCGTGTCAATGTGAGCCACAATCAAAACCTGGGTAGATGAAGGTAAGTAAGGGACAACCCCAACCATGAATAGCTGCGGCCGCCTTCTTAATTCTTTACATGGTTCTGGGTAGACCATTTTAATACCGGGTTTTGATTGTGACTCATGTCGCGATCCCCACGATTCCTCAGGCGGAAACTCGCAGTCTGCGGGAGGCCGGATCGGGGGTCGACCATGAGTGCGCGCGTGGGGGCGTGGGGGTGGGCGGGCGCGCGCGCGCGCGTTCGCGTGTGCGTGTGCGTGTGCGTGTGCGTGTGCGCGTGCGCGTGCGTGTGCGTGTGCGTGTGCGTGTGCGCGTGTGCGTGCGCGCGCGCGCGGGTGTGGGTGTGGGTGTGGGTGTGGGTGTGGGTGTGTGTGTGTGTGTGTGTGTGTGTGTGTGTGTGTGTGTGTGTGTGTGTGTGTGTGTGTGTGTGTGTGTGTGCGTGTGTGCGTGTGTGCGTGTGTGGATGTGCGTTTTCGATCTAGATTTGTCGTTGGGAGTTTGTCAAAAAGGGATGCGACATCTGGATGTTTGGGTTTTGGATGGGAACCTACAAGGATCGGAAGGACAAAAGAAAGAATGCCAGATGGAGGCCAAAAGGAAATCAATCGAAAACGGTAAGGACCCAAAGCGCAGCAAAAGGAAGCCGACCAACCACTTGAAAGGATCCCACTCACTTGCATAGCCCAAGGACAGTTGTTGCAGGGCTCTCCTTTAGCTTTTTAGCTTTTTAGTGTTTAGTGGGGTTTTCCATTTAGCCCACTAAAAGTTAGTCACTTTTGGCGGGGACGTTCAGCGGTCATCGACATAGTAGGGAGGCCGTGCCCCGATCCAGCCATTGCTGCCGGGTTCGGCAGTTCTTGTGCGCCATGTTCGTGTGGATACGGAGGGGCGATTTTTTGGATGAGATATGCCCGGTGGGTGGGTCAAACCAATGGGATCCCATTTTGGGGTAGGTGAATTCACCACCCATTTTAGAACCTATTTTAGTGGGGATTGGGATGCTCACTGGGGTTGGTTGCTCTCGTGCTCGCTTGCTTGCTTGCTTGCGTGCGTGCGTGCTTGCTTGCTTGATTGGTTGGTTGGTTGGTTGGTTCGTTGGTTCGTTGGTTGGTTGCGCTCGCTTATCTTGTCATTCTCTTCCATGCCACAGGAGCTGCGTACATTTTTTTTTACAACCTCATTGAAAGCTGAAAGTCCCCCCCTATCGAACCCGTCCTCCGAGTCAGCATCAGTGCGATCCAAGGATCATGTGCTTTGTTGCACGAAGAGCCCCTATGAGGAAATGCATGCTTTGTGGACACCTGTGATTGGTGTCCTGCTTCCTTCGGTATTTGACAATTGCGTTCCCTTGGATCGGCCTGTTCTATGAGCCCGTCAGCAGTGTGTTGTGCTTGGCTCAACGTTCCTGACTCACCCTGGTCGTTGCGACGGCAGACATGTGGATGCTTGTGGTTGGGCATATCGCTGGTGCTTCTGGTGTCCAGAGCTCGGACTGCAGGAACTGCTGCAGGAGTCCGAGAGGCTGGGGTCGGGCGCCGCGAGCCAGGCAGAAGGATTGATTTGGCGGTGGGTCAAAAATAGGTACCCCAAACTGGAACCCTGGCAAGTGGCAACATGGACCAAACCTGTGGTCCGATCCCTGGTGGTTTAATTTTGACCCACCCCCTGGGTTGGGGGGCGGGGGGGGGGGGGGGGGGCGGTTGGCCCGACCCCGAACCATGGCGAGCCCAGACCTGGATCCGTTGAAAGACCCCCCCTGTGAAGGGGAAAAATGTGAAAGGCGCAAGGGTGCGACATCCGGGTATTTTCAATAAACTGGATATGGGTCAAAATTAAACCACCAGGAGTCCGTTTCCATTTGCCAGGGTTTCATTTTGGGTATCTATTTTTGACCCGCAGCCAAATGAGGCAAGCTCACACGGGCCAACAATTGCAACACCCTAGTACTCTTTTGGGATGTGCGATTGGAAGGGTCTAGAATAGATGAGAATTCTCCAAATGTCGCCATTGAACAGACGACAGCCATGTTTTTCAGCGCAGGCAAATCTCCCAGTTGTATTGGATTGGGTTTCTTAGTTTGTGTGTTTCTTTGTTTGCTTGGTTGTTTGCTTGTTTGCTTGTTTGTTTGTTTGGTTGTTTGCTTGTTTGTTTGCTCGGGGTTGTTGTTTGTTTCTTTGCTTGTTGGTTTGCTTGGTTGTTTCTTTGTTTTTATGTTTTTTTGTGTGCTTGGTTGTTTGCTTGCTTTTTTGTTTGTTTCTTTTTTTGTTTGCTTGCTTGTTTGTTTGCTTGTTTGCCTGGGGTTGCTGATTGTTTCTTTGTTTGTTGGTTTGCTTGGTTGTTTATTTGTTTCTTTGTTTGCTTGTTTGTTGCTTCTTTGTGTCTTTGTTTGTTTCTATGTTTCTTTGTTTGCTTTGTTTGTTTGTTTGTTTTGTTTGTTTGTTTGTTTGTCTGTCTGTCTGTCTGTCTGTCTGTCTGTCTGTCTGTCTGTCTGTCTGTCTGTTTGTTTGTTTCTATGTTTCTTTGTTTGTTTGTTTGTTTGTTTGGTTGTTTGTTTGCTTGGGGTTGCTGTTTGTTTCTTTGTTTGCTTGTTTGGTTACTGGGTTGATTGGTTTTGTTTTTTTGGTTTTGTGCTCTTCGATTTGGCGCCTCGCCTGGTCTCCCGGAAGGCATCCGCAGCTGGGACACGAGGCGGGCTCAACGACGGGGTGTCGTTTTGGCCCCCCCCCCCCCCCCAAATGGATTCGCGTCCGTTTTGGTTTCTGCTTTCGGAAGTACCCTCAAAAAGGTTGTTGGTGGGGAACTTCGCATTTGGACATACTGACAAGCGAGGGCACATGAGCAGGCAGGAAGCAGCAGGAAGTTTATCCAGTTCCCGGCCGGTGGCATGTTCCAGCACAGTGCCACACTTCGCTACAGTCATGAATCTCAATGCACATAGCACACCCACCCACATATGTGCTTTATGTCCATTTGCTTGGATCCGTGGACTTGAACTCTTCGGATTTTCCTCTGGACCCACAGAGGGGTCCTTCCAGCAACCATGTGCACCAGAGAGTGCATGGCATGGCTTTGGTAACGTTGGGAGATCTCTGGCGGCGCTGGACACAGAAAGGCGTGAAGGCGATTGGTTTTGAGCGGTGTTGAAAGGGCATGAGGCTGCGCTGAGCGCAGCATGAGAAGCATGATGAGCCCTCTTTTCGGCCCCTTCAGGCACTTTGATCACAGTTTTTGCGCGTTGGACTTCAAAGAGTGCCTTGAAAGAGGAGACACTCGCACACCCAATCGCAGCCTATGAAACAGCTACATACTCCCACGCGAGCCACAATGAAAACCCGGGTAGATGAAGGTTAGTAAGGGACGATCCCAACCATAAATAGCTGCTGATGTCCGCCTTCTTAGTTCTTTACATGGTTCTGGGATGTTCTGGGTGCATCATCTTTGTACCGGGTTTTGATGACGACTTACGTGTTGGCATGTGCGCAAACATGAGCAGTGCTTTCTTTTTTTCTTTTCTTTTTTCTCCGCGCCTTGCACGTGCGGATTGGACACTCTGAGCCCTTGCTGTACTCCCTGCTGGTGGATCGCCACGTTTGCTTGGCTTGTTGGTTTCAGACACTAGTCATTGCTTCTCGATTGATCGGTTTCTATTCGCTGTTCTTCCCTTCAGGTTAATTATTGTAAGACCGGGTTTCTTGAGCTTCTTTCAGCTTCTTTCATCTTACCTCGATTCATTTATTAGATGTCTCTGTCAGTTTCTTGGGTTCCTGGAGGTTTCGGGTCTTCTTATCACGCCCGGTTTCTTCGGGTTGGCCGACCTCGCGTGTTTTTTTTTCCCCCCGTTTGCGGAGCAAACGAGCCGCTGCGCGCGGCTGGTTTTAGGGGGAGAAGCCGCTCTTCCTGGAGCTACTGGAGCCGATGCCTTGGAGCTGAGGGACTTTGGGCGCGCGTCGTGTCGGTCGTTTAGGGTTTTTGGAGGGGGAGGGGGAGACTTCGGGAGGTTGGGGGAGGTTTGGGGGAGGTTTGGGGGAGGTTGGGGGAGGTTTGGGGGAGGTTGGAGGAGGTTTGGGGGAGGTTGGAGGAGGTTGGAGGAGGTTGGAGGAGGTTGGAGGAGGTTGGAGGAGGTTGGAGGAGGTGGGGGGGGATGACGGAGGCTTAGGGTCAGTTCTTGCAACCTGCTTCTAGGGTTTTGGTTTTTAACATAGACTCCATGGCACGGGAGACCCCCCCCCTTTTCTACCGGGTTTGGCTTGGTGGTTTGACCCCCCCCCCCCCCGCGTTTTTTTTTGGTGGTTCAAAGGGAAACCACCAGGAACACAGGCCATTTTTGGGGTCCCCATGATTTAGGTTTGATGTGAAACTCGAACAAAAAGCGAATCGACCTGAAATTACCTTTTGCTCGCCCTTTTGAGCACATTTTAGTAATGGCCCAACAAGGTGATCAGTATTTATTTGTGGGTCCTTTTAGCAATTGGGTAGTTTGTGAGGCTTGTAAAAACTCAGCCAACTCTCCAAGGGAGACGGGACAAGTTGGATCTGAATGCAGACCATATTGTTTAGACAGGACTTCATATACTCGGACAACAAGCTGCTACCAAATTACAACCCCCTCAAAACACACCACCCCAAAACACGTCGATCCCACTTTTGTTTTGCTTTTGTTTTTCTTTGAGAGGGTGGGTGGGGGGTGGGGGTTTCCCTTTGAGTTGCGATACTTATTTGAAGAGCCATACCAGTTCTATATTCTGTTTGTTCCTCGTTCACACATTTTAAGAATCAATAGCGTGTTGGGGACAGAACTCAGCAGAAAACAGGCAGTTTGCCCAAACACAGGCCTCGGCAAGAGGTTGCTTTCAACAGTCAAAGCGCGAGGGAGGAGAGGATTAGAATTCCGGGCGCTTGCTTCGAACCATCTCGGCAGCTGGATGTGGGTGTGTCTCTTTGTGAGTTAGTACCTCGTTTTGGGTTGGCTTTGAAGGACAAGCCAAAGGAAAGTCGTTGCACCATTTTGGTGGTGCCAACCTTTCAGAAACAGCCCCCCCCCCAACCCCCCAAAAATAAGTTTGCGTATTTTCCTACAAGCAGCCCAATATCACAAGTACTTCTGAGCAAACCAACCTACAATTACTGCCCAACCCCCCAACCCCCAAACCCCCCCCAACCCCCCAACCCCCCAAACCCCCCAACCCCCCAACCCCCCAACCCCCCAACCCCCCAACCTCCCAACCCCCCAACCCCCCAACCCCCCAACCCCCCAACCCCCCAACCCCCCAACCCCCCCAACCCCCCCAACCCCCCCAACCCCCCCCCCCCATTCCCCATTTTTGCTGGTATTGAAGACCAAGCCGATTTCGCGACCAGGCCCTGGTTTCACAACCCGGCGAGCGCCCTTGCGCTGTGCCTCTGGTCCCAGCACTCCTGGCAGCAGGGAGATGGGGAAGCAGAAGCGGTGGAAGCTGTGGGGTTGGGTGTCTTTCTGGTGCGATAGGCAGGGAATGAGAATGGAATAACCCTTACGCACCATCCCCTGCGGTTTCCTTTAAGGGAATCCCCTCCAAATAGGTTTGACCCCGAAGTTTCTCTCTCCATTCCCATTCCAACCGGGGCGCAGTGATTGTTGACTACGGTTCATGCGGGCGTGTCTTGATTTTGAGGGCACCCATGCTTGCAGGAACCGAACCAACACAAATAAATTCACGGGAAACGACAGGGCAACAGGGACACCGCCCAGTTTTCTGGGGGGGTTCCCAGCCATCCCCCTAGGTTGTTCGGTTGTTTTGTGCTTAGTGGTCGGGTTTCCGTATTTCATCGGGTTGGATTTTTTTAGCGGGGGATCCGAAAACGAACAGCCCAGGCTTGAGGTTGCTCTATGATGTGTGTGCACACATCTGTTACGAGGGCCCAGCGCCCCAGGCAGTACGAGCTGGCCAGCGAGCTCACGGGGCGCTGCGCCGCCTTTGAGCCCACCTTAGACTTCCTGCAGCAGTCGGGGCCTCAGAACCCTCAGAAGGCGTGAAGTTTCGGTCGCAAGCAAGTCTAGGTCCCCCAGTAGTGCCCCTTTTACTACCCTTTTACCTTTTTTGGGGGAGGGTTCCCCTACTAAAATAGACTACAGGAGAAAAAGGTTGGTACCAACTTATTCTAACATCTCTTCTGGAGGACCTCGGAGTCAAAACTCAAGTCGCAAGTGAGTCCTTCCCCGCCTCAAAGCCGCGACGCTCCATTTTGATGTTCGGTATCCGCGTAGTGAGGTCAAGGAGTGTGCCCTGCGGGGGCCCAGGCATTTAAGCATGTCCAGGGGTTTCCGAGCCATGTCCGCCTAAAATTCTAGGGGCTGATTTTTCATTCTTTTCAACCATCGTTCCTTGCAAAAAAGCCGGTTCTGTTTCCCCTGGGTTTTGGATGGTTTCCTGAAAAGATTCGGATCCGGGAAGGTAGCCCTAGAAACAAGGGAACACTTGCAACAGCGGATCCATCGCTGTGGAAGCCACCAGTAAATTGATATTACAACTTTCAAAGTGGAACTCCAGGCCGCCCCCCGAACTATTCAAGCGGCCACTGTTTTGCTCCGACATGCTCCTTCGCTTCCCTCCAATTGGTGGTGTGGGAAATTGAATCATTGAACCCCTTCTAGAAGGTAAACAATTGGGAAACCACCCGGCATTTCTGGCTGTGACCCCAACCCAACCCCTAGAAGGTCAATGGGGGACACCACCCATGAACCTTCAAAGAGACCGCGTTGGCTCCAAGCCAAGCTGTGACTTGCCTAGGTCCCCCAGCTAGGTGCCCTTTCCAACCCCTTTTTTGGTTGGGAGGGTTCCCCTGCTTTAAAATAGACAAAAAAAAATAGAAAAACGAAACAAAACCAAAAACAACCAAAAACATCGGGTAATGGCCACCTTCTTCTAAGTCCTCTTCAAATCTGGAGGACCGTTTGGCAGTGTTCCTTCCATTTGGGCGCAACCCACTTTGAGCCTCACCCGGCGCAAGTGGACCTCTCGAGGCTGGACCAGCTGGTGCAGCTCATAGAGTCACCCATCTTCTCCAGGCTGAGGCGCGCTCGCTCCTCACTGCGTTTTGCTCGGCTCGGCTCGGCTCGGGGGGGCGCGGAAGCGGAAGCGGCGTTCTGAGGTTGGCCCTTCCTAAAAAAAGCCGCGTTCGCCGGGAACCAGGGGGTTCAGGGGCTTGGGCTTCCGGCGTTTTGATGTTGGCCTTCCTAAGGGAGCCTGTGGGGGAGGAAGTGAAGGTGAAGAGGTAGCTCCCACAGGGTTTGTGCAGCTTCAAAATTCCGCCGTTTTTTGTTTGTTTTTTTTGCACTTATTGGACGCGAGAAGGGGGGGGTGCAACCCACCTTGCCGTTGGCAATAAATTCATCCAAGTTGGCGGGTTGTTCCTGTAACCCCCCCCCCCCCCCGCGCGCCGTTCAACCCGTTGCCGTTGGCTTACCTGCCATCCAAGTTGGCTTACATCCTCCACCCAGAGGCTCCAAATCGATTGATTTGGGGCCTTCAGCCAACCTGGTTTTGAGACCGGGTCCCAACCACCGATTCCCGGGGTGTCTAATGGAGGGGTCGGGTCTTGCATTGAAAGCCGAAGTTAAACCCTGAGCCCGATGTGGGTTCCTTGAAGCCTCCGGCCTGGCCGCGCGCGCGTCCAGTCCCCACGAGAGCGAAACCGCTCGGCAGGCTGCAGCTGCTGGAGCCAAAGAAGCACCCCATGCTGCTGAAGTGCCTCCTAGGCCGGGGAATGTTTTTTGGAGCTGGTGGTAGTGACGGGAGCCGTTCTTGTTTGTTTTTTTGTTTGACGGTAGCTCTTTTTGTGGATGGTTGGCTTTGCAGGGACATTGAAAGGAACTATTCTCGTTTTTGTTTGAATTTGATAAACAGGCTACCAAAAAAAAAGAGATCATTTTGGGTTGGTTTTGCAGGGACACCAAAAGGAACGTTTTTTTGTTTTTTGTTTTTTTTTGGGGGGGGGTTTCGGTACCGTGTTTTGTTGGTTTGAAAGGGGCACCAGAAGGAACCCCCGAAGCCATTTTGTGGGTCCCCTCAGAAAAGACAACCCCCCCCCATTTCTCTTCCTTTGCCTCGAAAGACAAAGCGCAGCGTGGCAAGGTTTCCGAGCCATGTCCTGCGTTAGAACCTCCACTTCCTGTTTCGGAACCTCCAAAAGTGGCAGTTTCAACAGAACACCACGCTTGATTCACTTTTGATTTGGGGACATCCGGGCGATCCTTCCAAGAAGAGCCTGCCCAAATTTGCCGCATGCCTTGACTTCAATCGACAGCAACTCAGCTCTTTGACCTGAGAGCAAGGTAAACCTCTTGGTGCGAGAGATGCAGGGAATGGGAAATGGAGCGACCCTTATATAAACTTATAAACCAACCCCTTGTGTGTTTCTTTGACAGAACCCCCTTCCGGTTCATTCCCACATTCCCTGCGCAATCCCAACTGGTGGTTTCCTTTCAGGGGACGGTTCACCCCCCCACATTGTTTCTTTTTACTCAGGCTTGACGTTGGGATGGTTGAGTTTCCCATTTGGTAGGATCAATCCTTCACAGCCATTCTAATTTTAAATGCTGGTTCCTATTAGAACCAAGCTTTTGACCATGGGCGATCCGGATCTTTTCGAGGCTTTGGCCAAGTCCTTGGCGAGATCTTGAGAGTTTGGACTTGTTGCTTGGCAAGAGGCACCCCCAAGCAGCCACAGGGGGTCTTGTTTGAAGTCACCTCGTTTTGGATGAACAGTGTTTGAGCATGTGCGCTTGTTAGGTGGGTTGAAAATAGAAGATGCTGTCCGAGAGGCCTGGCAATGCTTTTGCCGCAGGCGTGGAAGGGGTGAGCCTGTGGATGCGCTTTTTGATCCGGACTCTTTTTGCACTGCCACTCTGGATGAATGATGAATGCTGCAGCAGGCTGCATTTCTTTGAGGTGTTGCGAGCGCAGGGCTGGCTTTCACTTGTTGCTGACGCCACGCCAGCCAACCGTGCAGGATAATTATGTTCCATCCGCTTGGTTGGAAGGTCGCGCATTTTGTTTCTTGCCATCTCTGGATCCGGGGAACCGATTCGGAAAATATCCCAGATTCCCTTGGGTACACACCCAAATGGCTGTGGGTCAAAACCAATGGGATCCCATTTTGGGGCAGGTGAATTCACTACCCATTTTAGATCCCATTTTAGTGGGGATTGGGATGTTCACTGGGGGATAACCGGGGTTTTGACCCATGGCCAAATCTGGTCGAGACTTGGCAGCACGGGGAATGGTGTCCAGTCAATTGTGTGGAGGGTTCTTCTGCCTTTTGGGCAGAAGGCAGGTTCCCACTCTGAAAGGTGCACTGGTCTCACCGGTTTCCTTTCAGAGGTTTGCTTTCTTGCTGAACTGCGCGCTGAGCTCTCCCAGACTTTGTTTGTGGAGAGACTTTTCAGCTTGCTCGAACTCAGACAGGTCCCTACCGGCGGTTCTTGCCAAAGCATCATTGCAGCAGAAAGATTTTCGCCCCAAGGACGCGCTCAAACAAAAAACAACATCCACCGAGGATGTCGAAGGCCACGAGCAACCTGTCGTTTTCGCTCAAAAACGCCAAGCAACCAACCACTGAAGCACCACATGGGTCTCCCTTTGCTTCTTAAAGTTGGACCCCCCCCCCCCCCAAAACAGTCAAAACCTCCCCCCACCCCCCCACCCCGTGTCCCACTCTCGCCGCCTCGTTCTTCAGGCGGGCGCCTTCCAAGCCTTGCGGGAGCGGATGCATCTGGTGCAGAGCAGCCTGCTGCTGGAGGCTTCGACTTCGAGTCGAGCCGAGTCGAGCCGCCGCTTTTTTTTCGAGTCGAGTCGAGTCTTCCTCCGGAGAGGGAGGTGGTTAGGTGGAGGGGGGGGGGGAGGTTGGGATGGGGATGGGGAGGGAGCGGAACTGGAGGCATTGCCAGACCTTTTGCTATTTGTTTTTTGGGGGGAATGGGCAGAACTGGAAGAAACTTGTTGAAACGTTTCAGGCAGAAAACGGCCATCGGTGGACCGAGGAAGAAACCTGCACAGGGCGTAGGCGAAGCTTTTCTTTCGAAAGGTTCACCCTGACCTTTTTCACTTTGCCAGAGGTGTTTCTTTCTGGTGGGGCTTCGCGATTTGCCCCCCCCCCCCCCCCATCAAAACTGGCACAAGACGGCCTTCAAAGTGAGCCAGATGCGTTCACGGTTGGCCCCACCCGCGCGACTCCAGGTCCGGTTCGACAGCGAGGCCAGCGTGGGGGTTCGCGGGATGGGGCCTGTGGATCGAAATCCGAGCGAGAATCTGGGCCTGTCCTTGGTCGATGGGAGATGTGTTTGATCGAAGGGACGCCACAATTTTTAGTTTCCACTGTTGGTTTTAAAAGGGCATCTATGACTACTGGACACATGTTTAGTTTTTCCAGGGGGCTTAAGCAAATGGAAGAAAAGAACACCAACCACTTTGTGTCTCTGCATATTGTGAGATTTCTTGGATGGTTTTGAGAGGGAAACTAAAGAACATCAATGTAAACAGAGCCTTGACTGCGCAGGGTAGGGCTGAGCAGCCTTGAGGCGCCGTAGGGTTTGGGGAGCAGTGCCAAAGCCATGTCTTGGCGCACAAAGAGCAACCACAGTTGTCAAGGGGAGAAGTTACCATGGTCAAAACTGGGCCCAGGAGTATTGATCAACCCCCAAGTTTCACAACTCACAGGGAACCCCCCAAACACCCCGCCCCCCCCAAACTCCCCCCCCTCCCAAACTCCCCCCCCACTTCCCCCCCAACTCCTCCCCCCCACCTCCCCCCCCCCAACTCCCACCTCTGCAGCTCCGACAGGCGCCTGCCACGGCCACCAAAAGTGGCCCGGGGCCCAAAACCCCAGCGAGGAATTCCGCGAAGCCTCGATGCGAGTTGGGCCTTGGGCCGAAGGAAACCAAGCACTGGGCGGCGGCCCGTAGGGTTTTTCATGTGGGTGTGGCTCAAAATTAAACGATCGGAGGGGGCAAACCGCAGGTGTCCATGTTTCCACTTACCAGGGCAACCCATTTTGGTATTCCGGGTTTTTGAGCCACAGCCATGTCCAAAACCAAGAACCCTGCGGTGAGAAAAATGCCGGCGTTGGGTGGTGCGCTGGCAAAGATTCGCTTAGGGGCTGGGACCCAGCCGAATCTGTAGGCTTTGCGCGAAAGCAGGACACATCCTTGTCAGACATGGCCAGGCCTCTGAAGTGAGCACGTGACACTGACATCAGCTATCATGCAGTTGGCTGGTTCTTGACTGGAACAGACTCACCGTAGGGGCACTCATGCTTTTCTTTGCTGTTGCCGAGTGAAGCGCGCATTGGGAAAATGCTTTCTGCATGCATTGGCTCTTTGCTTGGGCTTTGATGTACTTGAATACATAGGTGTCCGTTTTAGCTTAGTTTGGTTGGAATTAGAAGGGTTCCACTGGTTTAGGTGGGTTGTATTCCACTTACCTTCAATAGGCCACCAATGCTTGAATACCTAAACTTCCCTTTGCCCTTTGCAGGGTAGGATGCAGGGTGCATGGGTGAACCATGGCTATGTGACGACGGCTAGCGGTACTTTGAGCTCAGTCGTCACAGAATTAGCGGATGTGCACTCTTGCAACTTTGCAAGCAGATGGCTTGGAATTTCATGGGGAACCTCCAAAGTGGTTGGTTCACGTTGTCCGCACCTAAATGATGTCCGCCTAGGGTGAACTAAAAGTCACACCCACAAACCATCTCAGGACAGCTTTCTTTGCATGTCTCTCGGCAAACCGGGCGGAAGAATCCCTCAGCGTTGGTGAAGAATGCCACTCCATTCGCGCTAACATGGCGCTCGCTGACAGAACAACCGCTAAGCCCACCAAAAGCTCGGCATGTCCTTTAGTGGACGCACCAAAATGGCTGGTTTCCTTTTGGCGTGCCTTTTGAAAACCAATATTTATGAGGATTCATCAGAGATTCAGGGGGTCAACGAGCCAAAGCCGTGAGGGCCTTTCTTTGGCAACGAGCTTCCCATTGAAGCATCACAGCTAACGAAGACCGTATCTCCAAAAAAAAGGACAGACCCGCATGGCCATGGGTCAAAATCCGGTTGTCCCCCAGTGAACATCCCAATCCCCACTAGAATAGGATCTAAAATGGGTGGTGAATTCACCTACCCCAAAATGGGATCCCAACGGTTTTGACAACCACAGCCACCTGGTTTTCCAGCCAGTCAGGACCTAAAGAACCACAACTCTTCAGCTGTCCAGTTGCCGAGTGGCACCCTTTTTTCTCAATTTCGGAGTGTGTCTTTTTTGAGGGTCAGGTTCAAAGGCGGGTTTCCTTTTGGTTGCCCTTGAACACCAACCAGAGGGTTCTCGTACAAGAAGACACACCGTTGGGTTGACCCGAAACAGGTTCCTGTGACTTAAACACTTTTCAACTTTTTGGGTAACATGGGCTATATGTTTGTAAAAGATGAACTTCCCCAGGGCTTGGAGTTTTAAGGGGTTCCTGTGTCTATAGGGCAAAGACCGGCTGTATCGCGCCAAGACTGGCTGTCCTTCTCCTCGAAGGACGGGACCCGGCGAAGGCTTCACCTGGATCCCAGGGTTCTGTTCTTGTTTGGCTGGAACACATTTTACATTTTACCAGTGACTCAAATTGAAGCAAACAATAAAATATACGTTCTATAACTGGGCCTCACTCTAATCATGATACTCTCTTCTTCTTCTTCTTCGTCTTCTTCTTCTTCTTCTTTTTTGGAGGGGAGGGGATATGACGTCGACCCTGAGCGATGAAAGGGATGAAGGAGATCAAGGATAAAGGAGCTTGGGTCGACAGGATGCTTTTCAGCTTGCCAATGTTTTGTAAGTGTGATTGAGTTCATGCAATCTCAACACCTAGAACTACTGACTTGAGAGCATCCCATTCAATTTCAACTAGATTGGATAAACAGGCGAGTCCGACAAAATTGCCCTGAGGGCAGATAGGAATCGAGGTTGGTGAAACTCTCTTGTTCGAAGCAGAAGTGCACGGCTTAATGCCACTGACAATGTAAGCGCATCGCATGTCGCAGCCGGCTAGGGCTTTAGGCCAAGGAAAAAGACGCCCTGGTTTCCGGTGTTGGCAATTTCAACTCGCCGCGCTGCGGAAGATGCACCGTGTCCGCTGCAATCATGTCCATCTCGATTTGCAGGATATCAGACATGCTGAAAATTCCGGGCGGATGGTTGACAGATGCGCTCGGGCTGCGATCGGGGCCGGAAGGGTTGGGCCATGAGCCGAACGGAGCGAGGAGGGAAAGGAGGGGAAGGAGAAGAAGGAGAAGCAGGTGGACCTTGCAGGCCGAGTTGGGTTCGACGTCCGATTTTTGTTGAAGTCCCTATAGTCCCTCCAAGTTCAGGGCATGCCGAATGTGCCAAGGTACTGTGGATGGACGCAATCCAATTCGCACCACCTAAGAAACCTGGAATGATGATTCCGCCGGAAGTATCAATCAACAAAGTCTTTTCCCATGGTTTCAGAGTGGTGCTGGATTTCGTCTATCCACAGTATGACTCTCCTGGGAATCGTCCCAAGGTTTCTACTGCTCTTGACAGCAGGGGAGCCATGACCGGGACTGGAGCTTTGAAAATAGAGATGGCTAAGGAGTAGTAGAACTGTGATGTAGCTCGGACGCCCTTCAAATGGAAAATCCTTATGGACCGCTATGGTTCAGGTCTCGTAACAATCCAAAGCGGGACCATGAACGCCCGCCTTGCTTTGTGGCACTGCTTCTCTCGGATGGGCATGAACCGGTTTTGGGGATCTCAAAGGAAACAAGGGATTGTTTACAGGAGCATTCCCTCCTTCCCTGCCTATCGCGCCAGCTTACGGGTCCTTTCCCGGTCCTTTGAGTCTTCAAATCTCTGGGAATCGGGGCCCCCGAAGTGAGCGAGAGCGCCTCCGCCAAAAGAAAGCCCTGCAAGCACGCACAAGCCTTGTGCTTTGTGTTGAGTGCTGGCACCCCAAAAGCTTTCCGTGTTTTGCATGTATTTGCCTGAGCCAGGCACTGTGAGAGTTCCCAACTGGGCCACCTTTTGTGCTGTTTTTGCAGAAAAGCCTGTTATTGCAAGGGCCAGAATAATGAGAACGGCGTTGTGGGGTGCTGCAATATCAAAACTAGGCATGATCCAGTATTAAACTCCTCCAAAGCACTTGTTCCATGATAATTGTAAACGCTTCGCGTTGCCCGCCTCCGCCAGTCCGCTTTTGGCTGGCTTTGAGGTAGAGGCTGTGCTTTAGTTTGCCTTGAAGTGTTGTTGTTAAAGTGAGTGAGTCGGCGCCGAAATGCGCGTGTGGTTTCCAAGGTAGAGGGTGAACTTGGCCGGTTTCTAGGGGGATTTGACCGGAGTGCCAGCTTTGAGAGGAGGAAGTTGACCGGGATCTAGCGGGATTTGGCCGGAGTTGAATCGGTCTTTACAGGGAGTTGACTGGATGGGAAGTGGACCGGTTTCCATCGGCTTCTTGAAGGGGATTTGGCCAGTTTCCACGGTAAGGGGATTTCAGGGAAGTGGAAAGGTATTTGGAGGGACTTGCGGGGTTGGGGGCAGGGAGAATCAAGATACTTGGCCCCTAATAAAAATAGGGCTCACCAGCCACGTTTTGAGGGTTCCATTGAGACACATAGCCAATGAGTGAAAGTCCATCATTGGGTCAAGTTCATGTCTGAGAATGCTGTTTTGAGGGTCCCCTTCTTTGGGTAGGTTGCAAGGGCAACCAAATGAGCCATGGATGGTCGTACGAGGCGTCCCATTCGGGATGACAATTTCCAGAGCTGTTGGCCAAATGCACAACTTGTGGTCCTCTCATTTGGTTTGTGGTCCTTCTCTCACTTGTTTCTGCCTGTCCAGCCTTCGTTCGTTTCCGAGCTGGGTGGGTGCAACGGCAGAGGCCCTACTTCCCTTTCCCCCCCCTCCCCCCTCCCCAGGATTCAAAAGGACACATTGATTCCCCGCGGCGCCGTAGGCCTTCTGCGCTCCTTCGCCCGGCCACCAAAACTTGGGGGGGACATGTGACATGTGGGTGTGGCCACCAAGATGATGTCATTTGAGTGTTTTGTGGCCTAGGTCCTTTTGCCCTTCTTTGGGGGAGGGTTCCTCTACTGAAATAGACTACAGAAAGAAGGGTACCCTTGTTCGAACCTCTCTACTGGAGGAGCTAGAGTGATGATCCTGGGGTCATTGGTTGTCAAAGTCAGAAAATGGATTCGGTTGTTTCCCTTGAGCCCATCCCCGGGGTGACTTTGATCATGGTAAAGTCATGAGGCCAGGGATCTCATTTGAGGGTCTCTTGTTGCCGCCGTTTTTCTTTGGTCTGCGACAAAAAGAAAATAACAAGAGACAGGGCAGGGTGCAACGCCCGTTTCTCGCTTGGGCTCCCGGGCGGTTTCTTTTTCTGGAGCCCTGCCTTGCCGGAGGAGAAGTCGTGTTGCCGGGTCATGATTAAATGCCAGGTTCTGGTTTCCACTGTGAAAAGGGGGTCCCAATCTTGAGAGTCCCACTTAGACCCCACGAGGCCATAGAAAGCCATTGAGCCTCCCCCACGCATTCAAAAGAAGAAACCTATGAGTTACGAGTCGCTGCAGGCATTCAGGTTCTTGCAACTAAGCCTCCAGGAGACCGCAGGTTGTAGTCCAAGTTTCCATTTACCAGGGTTCCATTTTGGGTACATATGTTTGACCCACAGCCATTGGGCTTGCTGAAGCGTGGTTGTTTTTTGTTGCGCTTTTGTCCACAGCCTTGTTTTTACACGAAGGTTGTTGGTCCCGGGGTGATGGAACCTTCCCCCTAAGAATTGTAATTTGAGGGGGTGGGGTACCCCAATGAAATACATGGCAATTTTGGGGGTCCCCCACTCCCCCCCCCCAAAAGACGGGGATTGGTTTCCTGTTGATTTCCTTGTTCGCCGTGACATTCTTCTTTACGTCCCTTGCAACGCACGTTGAGCAGGTTGCATCAACTGGCCAGCAGACCAAAAGCGCCCAGACCTTTCTTTCGGGAAGAGTTGCGCTTTGAACATGAAGCACCACCCACTACTCCAGGGGTACCTTCCAATTCACGGGGTAACCACATTTCACGGGGGAACCACCCCCATATTGATAAACTGGTTGATTGATATGGGGTCAACAACCCCTACAAGACCTTCCCTGGGGAATCCATGGGTCCGGGTTCATTCCCAACACTCCAGGGGTACCTTCCAATTTCATTCTTTCCAGGCATCCGGATCTTTCTACAAAACCGCGCCAAAACCCTGGGGAAACAGCTGGTGTTTGAAAAGAAGTATGGTTGAACAGAATGGGGAATCAACCGCTAGAACCAGTTGCAAACGTGCATCATTCTCGAGTTTTGCACCAATCAATTCATTGCAGATTCAGCAGGCCCCTGGCTCAAAACAAAGAGAAACCAACACTGCCACTGAGTTTTGGGGGTTGTTCATGTGTCCCCGCGTCGCTTGAGGGTCCACCCCAATAGCTTTGCAGTCCCACACATGTCCATACAAAAGACGGGTGCCTGGTTGGATGCAGGATTCCAGTGCCCTTGATGCGACCCGAGTACAACAACTTCAGCACATTTCGCACGTTGTTCCCTAGGTCGACAGGTGGATTTTTGGTTTCGATTGTTGTTCGCGACGGGATTTTCATGGGAGAAAGCTTTTTTGTGTGGCCACGTGGCCGTTCTGAGTAATTCGATGGGTAGAGGAGATCGTTCCATTTGCTTTGCAGAGGGGTGCTCGGAGCCTGCAGCACACCCCAGACGGTTGTTGTTGAGAAACATTTTACATTTTTGCTTATTGTGGTTTAGTGGGAAATCCCCACTTAACTGCTAAAATTTGAGAATTGTTGCTCCCCTTCCAACGTCAACCAAGCCAAGGGGCCCCAGTTTTTGGTACCAGTTGTCCGTCGGCTTTGCTCCAGTGAGCTGCCATGTTTCCGTGCAGCTTTTTCCAGTTCGCCCATTTCTCAGGTAACCCGTAGTTGGTGGTTTGGACAAAACTTAAGTAAACCATGGTTACATGATAGCTCCACGTTTTGAACAGAAGCCCCTCCATGTCACCACCAAACCGCCGATTCGGCTCCAAACCACACGTTGGAGGGAGGCTGAGTTGCTGCTTGCCGAGGACAAGATAACGCAGCAGCGCAACGACGCCGCTCCCTCGAGCTTCAGGGGCCGACGGGCAAGTTCGGGCGACTTCGCGAGTGGGACCAAGATTGGACCTCCAAAAACCGGTTTAAAGAAACCGCCCTTTGGTGATCTCAGCTTGACTTCAGGTCAGTGTGTCTGCTTTGGCTCTTGCAAAATCTGTCAACTGGAACCATTGCTGCTTCGATAACGAGTGTTCCGTTTCGACCCAGGCGCGGTGTGGCCCGTCGCCTTGAATGCAAAAGCGCTCGCGGAGCCGCGGGGTGAGATGGTGAGATGGGTGCCATCTGGAGGAAGGAGCTGTTGGTGCAACTGGGTCCCTTGAAGCGTTCTTTTTCCCCTTTTAAACACATATTTCATTTATTTTTGGGGAAGGACCCTTTAATAAAGGATCACTTGCAGATAAGATTTGAGGATGTCACTTGCACCCACAGTGATTGGCTGCGGACCCCAATTTTTGCACCGTGCCTGCCTTGGTGTCTTGGCTGTCTCATGTTTTGCTGGGACGGAAGCCTGATAGTTGCAACCTTTTGAATTCTTTTTGAGCGAATTTCCTCAAAGGGAAGCGCTTAGTTGTCCCACAGCCAGAGCGCCACTTCCTTTCGCCGTGTGACTGGGGCCATTAGCGCTGCGTTGTGTGAAGCTCCCCTCGTAGCACCGGCTCAGCCGGGCGGAAACGGGGGGCGTGGGCCACTCTCCCCCGGGTCTTCGAGCCATGCGGCTGAGGGCTTGGAGAAGTGCGGGCGGGTTGGGTTTGTTTTGGGCTTGTCTTGACCTGTCTTTTGGGTCCCTCAACAAAGATTCCGACGCCAAAGCGCTGGCTTCCAAACTCCATAGGTGTCCTTTTTGGTGGATTTGGTTGAACAGTAGAGGGCGATTCCTGGTTTATCGGGTGGTTCAATCAACTACCAGGGCCATCCATTTTCCCGACAAGGACACCTATGTGGCTTCCCGACTCTCTTGGGGTCCCGCAACAAATACAGACACAACAAGGTCCCGCAAAAACAAAAACAACAAAGGTAGATTGGCTTCCGGCTCCTTTCCAGGTCACGCAAACAAATCAAAGGTACATTGGTTTCCAGCTCTTTTTTTCGGGCTCCTCAAGGAAAGACACCAGGTCACCAAAGGTACGTTTTCTTCAGCTTTTTTCTGGGTCTCTCAAAACAAGACACCATCGGTACGTTGCTTTTTCCGACTTTTTTGGGAGTGCGGCAACAAAAACAACACGCGAATGGTACCTTGGCTTCCGGCTTTTTCCCGAATCCCTCAATAAAAGACACCACTGGCATGCTGACTTTTGGTTTTCTTCCAGGTCCCTCAGCAAGAGACACCAAAGGTACGTTGGCTTCCGGCTCTTTTCCGGGTCACGCAAACAAAACAAAGGTACATCGGCTTCCAGTTGTTTTCTTCTTCTTCCGGGTTCCTCAAGAACAGACGGCAAAGGTAGGTTGGCTTACGTTTGTTTCCTGGGTCCCTCAACAAAAAGACACCCTTGCGGCTTTGTTCCGGGCCCCCGCCCCCCCCCAAAAAGAAAGAAAGAAAGAAAGAAAGAAAAGCAAACAAACAAGTACGTTGGCTTCCGGCCTTGTTGTCGGGCTCGCAAAAAACTCCAAAGGTACGGCTATGTTTTCCGGTCCCTCAACAAAAGAAGACGCCCGAGGTACGCGTCATTGGGAACCTGGGAGGAAACATGGGAGCTCCAAGTCAAGGGGTGGCAGCCCCTGAATGGGGATCCAGAATCCAAGGACCGGATGCCAAGGCTAGTTGGCAATCCTTGAGGTGCAGGCTGAAGCAAGGCCTTTTCACCTACCTGGCTGTCGGTCCATTTTGGGGCAGGTCACCACCCATTTTAGTCCATTTGAGTGGGGATTGGGATGTTCACTGGGGGTACGGGCTTTTGAGACCCATGGCCACCTGACGACCTGAGTTCTGTGATTCAGTAGGACCATTGCACATGATTGTCGGCCCGGGACTCTTCTTGTCGTATGTGAAGACAAATGGGTTGCCCCCAACACAGTGGTTGTCCCCTCGGTTTGCGATTGAAGTTGCCCCAAACACTCACTTCCTGAGTTCAGGTTTTTGGGAAGACCATCTTAGCGGTAAAGCAACCACGTGCACTTGTTTTGGCCCATTCACTCGGGACTCAGGCTCTGTTGCCCAGTGGTGTCCTTTTTTCAACCTTTTTTGGGTAAGGGTTCCCTTTAAATTCAACCAGCAACAAAAGGATGCGTCCTTTTTCCCATGGTTTTCCACTGGGCATCTGAGGAGGTACCCCACAAATCTCTTACCAGAGTTGCTGAGGTGAGCTGGCCCTGACTCACCACTCAGATACAATGAGGCGGGAGTGTTTGGGAAAAACTTGGAGGAACATCCGAGTACCTTAAAGGGGAGGGGCTGGCTCCATTCTTTGGTGCATGTGGTCATCGTTGGTTGCTTTTGGAAGGGCATTGGCCGCAAGAATCTCCAGCGGTTGTTGAGTTGTTTACTTTCACACTGAGAGGTTGTGCTGTAACTTTGGTGCGTTTTGCTTGGATGTTAGGACTTTATAGCTTTTTGCCAACTAATGGGTTTTCCGTATTAGCCCCACTGAAAGTGAAACTTTGAGCGGGGGAGCAGAAAGCAACCGAGACTTGTATCTTGCGAGCGCCATCTGTGGTCTCACCCGGGAAAAGGACAACCTCCCTGAAGTGCATGGTTTCCTTTTGATGGCCCCGTTTTTTCGCGGTATGTTGGTCTTGACATGGCCCGTTTGTGCTAGGGTGTTACTTGAAGGCACGGAACAGTTCAGTGTTCCAAGAAGATTCAACAACCCCTTGTTTCCCCCTCCCAGTGGAATTCACTTGTATAGCAGGCAACCAAGGGAAGCACCCGGGAAAAAAACATAAAACAGGGCAAGTGCTGGTTGCCTATCCATGGTGGTTACCGGGATCCACCGGTATGGTTGATCAAAAGGTCTGGTAAACATGGGATGTCCATTGTTTGGAACACTAAAAAAAGCAACATTTGATATTTCAACCCACCTGGGTGTGGCTCAAAATTAAACAGGAGGGGCAAACCGCAGGTCTTGGTACCCATGTTTCCACCTCCCAGGGCAAGCCATGGTGGAATTCCGGTTTTTTGCGCCACAGCCACATGGGACAAGTTAGAAACCCCTGGGGCCTCGGGGCTGTTGATCCACCTCCCTCCCCGAAACCGAGTCGTCGCCGGGGGCCTCGGATCCTCGGCTCAGGCAGCTGCTTCCAGCGCTGGCGCTGCTTTTGGCGCAGTCGGCCGCCCTGAAGGCGGACCTCTCCCGGTTGGAAGGCGCGGGCCGGAGAGGAGAGTCGAGGAGCGCGGGCGGGAGCCGGTTTTGGAGGAGGGGAGGGGCCGGCAAAAGGTGGGGGGGGTCCCGGAGGGTGGGGGGTGCCGGGGTGGGGGGGGGGGGGGTGGGGGAAGGGGAGGTAGATCGCAGCGCCACTTGCATTGAAGACTAGGTCTCCCAGCAATTGGTGCCCTTTCTCACCGTTTCTTTTTTGTGTTTGGGAGGCTTCCCCTATTAAAATAGACTGCAGAAAAAGGGCACCCTTATTCTAGCCTCTCTGGAGGACCTAGAACAGCTTCTGCCTTGGGTTGAATGGGGAGCGTTTTGTGGTGCTCTTCCATGGCGCTGGGTTTGGTTTCTGTTCCTATGATATCCATTTTTCCTGCAAGCTTGGCTTTCAGCGATACAATGCTTTGTGCAAGGCCAGTACGAGAACCGACCATGCTGACCTGAGCCACAATCAAAACCCGGGTAGATGAAGGTTAGTAAGAGACAATCCCAACCATAAATAGCAGCGGATATCCGCCTTCTTATTTGTTTACATGATTCTGGGTTCACCATTTTTGTACCAGGTTCTGAAAAGGGATCGATCCCTGCGCTCGCTCCGCGCCCCCTCTATTCTTCGAGGGGGACTTGTGGCCATTGGATCATCCCCATAGACGGAAACCATTCAGTGGTGATTCTCCATGGCACTAGTTCTAGGAAATGCTTTCAGTGGATCTAGGATCACATGATACATCTGGTGCTTCTCTTCTTTACTTTTAAACCTTCGGATCAGCTCTATCTCTCTTTTCACATGTCTTTCACACAGGCAAGTTGGGCACCTCCATCTTGTTGCCCAAAAAGAAACATTCATTAAGAGTGAGAGGATCTTTTCTTTCTGGAGCTTGGGTCCTGAAACCGAGGGCTGCACGGACTGTTGGGAGGGCTATCAGTGGACAAGCCCAGGAGAAGGTGAGAAGCCCTTAAGGCCTTAAGCCCAGTGGCAACCAGCGGATTCCGCGCCCTTTTTTCATTCCTTTTTTTTTGGGAAGGGTTGCCGGGGTGCCCTTTAAACTGAACGAACCGAACAAAAAGGAATGCCGATTGGGCATCTGAGTTTATAAGGGGGAACACTGGTCCGTGGCGGTACTTTCTTTGGTTTTCCGTTTTCACCGAACTCCCCCCCCCCTTTTGCGTGCAGGGCACCAGCCCGCGGATGTGGAGGCGTGCGGGCTGGGTGCTGGGCGCTTCCCCCGCATCTTTGGAGCACCGAAGGTCAGGTGGGCCATTTTTGGGGCGGTTTGGCGCCCGGTTTGGAGCCCGGTGCATCGCGAAAGGGGGAAGAGCACCGGCCATGTCGTGGTTGGAAGACTGCTCCAAGAGCATCAGTGTGCCTTGGTTTGGATTTGGAGTTGAAGCCCTGGTTCTGGTGGGTAGATGGGAAGCCACTCCAAGACACCAATCCAAATCACCAATCTGAACCACCAATTCGTGGAAGCGGAGAAGTAGTGAACCCGAGCATGTGTTGGAGGCTGGACTTCCTGGGATATGTGGCTTTCGCAACCTTCAGATGGGGTTCCACGAGTGCTACGGGAGTGTGACAACTGGTGAATCCACAGGTGGGGGCATTCTTGACTGCTATTGGGTTGGATCTTTAGACTTTAACTTTTTGGGAAATCAAGTTGGGTTTTCCACTAAGCCCCCCCAAAAGTTATTCACTTTTGCAGGGGGGTCCTTCCAGCAATCAAGCATTGAACCGTTGTCTGGAATAGCAGACCCTGCATTCAACTCTGACAAAAGACACCAATTTGGAGTTGTCAACCCGTAAGTATTGACCAGGCCTCACGGCTTGCCGATTTGCCCGAGGAAGGCGAGTCGTAATCCTCCAGTTGCTTAGGAATATGTATTTTTTTAATTTTCCCTTGTTGGTTTTAAAGGGAATCTATCACTACTGGAC